TCGTGCCGAATATCAGCGTATAATAAATAGTAGCTTAATGTTATATGTTTCAAGTGAGCAGAATAGATAACCCTCTTTACTGGTAATGATGCATTTCATCGTAGTTCAGGGGTGACAAAGCATCTGCACTTGATTCATAATCGATGATGCATGGATGTAGCTCTATGAACAACAATGTTAGTCTACTTACCATCCACGTGGACTGTGTGCTATTTTGCCCTGATTCTATAAAAAATTGTATGCAAGTTGTAGCATGGCCGCTATTGATCGAGTGTTGGGCACCTTAAATTGTATCATCGGCAATGTGAATACGTTACCATAAAGTGTTAACTTATAATTCTCTCGTACAGCCTGTAACATACGTAGTTATGAGTCGCAAATGATATATATCTGAGACATGAGAGCGAAATATAAGGAGTTTTCATCGTTTTCAAATCTATAAATTGCATATTGACTATTGTAATTATATAAGTTTTTGAGTTTGATCGGCTTGTAACCTTAGAGGCGCTACTTGCTATAAACATTCTTCAGCTTACTTAAGTACAATACTGGACACGAGCTTTTTCTGTAACTGAATTAGCCACAATTGCCGCATGTGCCAGGCGGATTGACGATCACAGCTCTAAAGGGATAAAGAATGTAAACAAACTTAGGGTGTTACAATCGATGGTATCAATCGATAATGAAATGGATTAGACGGTCGATCGATAGTTTCTACCACACCGATCGACCGATGGCACTTCTTCATATTATCATCTTCTGAATACATTGTGAAAGAATAGAATAGAATAGAATATAATGATTTCTTAAATTTACGCGAACATTACACATCTAATGAAACTATATTTACGGATTTTATCGCGTTTAATTAAGGAAACCGAGATGATTGACGTCCTAATTTGTAATAGTTAGCCAGGCTACCTTCAGTTTTTGAACGTTAATTTATGGTTCAATCTACGCAGAACGAACTTACAGTATCTTGAAGTCTTGCAGTGGTATGCTTGGGTTTGGGTTTAATTTTGTTAATTATAGGACAAAATGCAGGAAAGTACAAGCTAGATTGTGAATGTGGTCTCTCTTATGCCTACACTTCACAATCGGCGATGATCGTTGATCGTGTGATCGTTTACAATCGGCACGATCATCAAGCAGGCATACACATAATCACCCGTAGTGGTTTGTCAAACGGCAAGCATGGATATAGACGTGGAGTGTCTTGCTGCTGCAACAGTTTATTTAATAGCGGTATACAACAATTATGTCAATGTGGTTCAACGAAAAGGTGCGAAAAAAATGGAGAAAAAGAAGATGGTGGTGTTTGACCATTCATCGTAATAGAACAAAGTATCTAGTTACAATAAATAATTGTTCGGGTTAAATCAAGTGAGTTTACTTCATAGATTTTCATACTTCCTTCAGAGAAATTATGGAGAATCAGCTTGCTGAGTTATTGGCTGAATGTTCTGGAGAATTCGAAAACTTTATATGTATGTATGTCATCGAGCGATTTCACCTATTTGGTCCGAAAAAATTAGTAGCAAAACAAGACTACTTTCAGAGACTTCATACCAGTTAAAATACGCCTTGCCATCACATTGTGATTTTTGGCTACTGGGGATGGTTATAGAAGCTTGCACTATTCGTTTAAAGTTTCTAGCACAATTTTGAAAAAGTTTTGAAGGATATGGTTAATCTTTATAGGGCAGAAGCAAAATCAGTATGCTGACTGTAACCATCCAGCAAGGTTGACTCTAAGGCTCATAATTCATTATTCTTTGCATTAGTTATCAAACTTGTTGTATAAATGAGTAGTCCCTGAACGGGCGCAAGCAACAAGCTAAACCACGAAGTGAAATTAGTCAAAATTCTTTGGTAAGGTGCGACTTATTGGTGATCACGTTCGTGCCTTCTATCTCATAAGTATTTACGACCTGGAGAAGTAGCTGTGTCTCGTATATTATTGAAGAAAAATTTGTAAAATGTGATATTTATATTTTCCAAGGAAAGTAAATAAATAATTTAGTTATTTTCTTCAATTTGGTATATTAATTTTAATCCTAACTTATATCTGTTAAGGGGAAATATAACCTCAAATGGCTTAGCAAGATCCTCCGTTATGCCGAAAGTATTGCAGCATTAATTTTGAAATAAATATATGGTAAAGTTGAGTATTAATGTTAAGGATTATGTTAGATGAAAACACGATTTCGTAAAATTTTCTCGATAGAAAAAAATTCAAAGTTACCTCCAAAATAAACAATAAACCGCTGTTATTCATAAAATACTTTAAATAAGATCATGAAACTTTGCATACTAACAGAACTAACTATAAAGCAGTGCTTATGTTATTTACTTTTTTTAAATATCATTATTTTCACTGTAAAAAGAAATTACCTAAACTATCGGCCTCTTGAAGCGTGATTCCTGCCGCCCGGGCAGTTTCGCTTCGGCCTTTGAAGGGGAAGGTTGTGTCGCTTACGATCAGAATACACATTACGCAACAGGACGACGTAAAATTAAAATGGGAAATAACCGTAATAAAAATAAGAAGCGACTGGGTTGGCGTTAAGAAACAGGCATAAATATGATAAACCTAATGAAATAAGTGTCTAACGACCTATCTACTTACAGTATTAGTGATTACAAACATGTCGATACATAGCATACGACGCGCGGGCAAGTGGGGGCGAAATTAGAATTTGAGCTGACTTACTATATCCCCTTAAGTACAATAACGATTTGAACTCAACGGGTACAAAAAACCGATTTGTAGGTCGGAATTTGAACATGTGCATATTTCAGATTCTCATTTGTTTATTTTACTTATTTGGGGCTATCACACTAAACTTTTGAAAGTAGAATTATCACTTTATGCAATATAATTAGTTTACTTAGATATTATTGCACAAAGATATTAGGTGTCAAAATGTAGATATGGAGCATAGAATACTATAATACATATATAATATAGTATTCTATGGTATGGAGAACGGTGAGGTTTGTTCGTTACGTGCAACCTAACTCAATCGTTACATTTATGTATTTTCTGTTTGTTTTAAATGTTTATAGTAGTATTAGAATTCGAAAACATGCTCTACGATCAGCTTGTCAGTTTGATTGAGGGCATAGATGACATCCAAACCGAAAATTCAGATATTGGATGGGAATTAGACCCTGAGTATGAACTATCTTTGAACGTCATATCAGCTTAGCGGCTGCAGGATTGATTACTCTACTCTGTTACAAGTTCCTAAAAATAAGTTTGTTTGTTACGTAGATTGTTGATTTGTGAGATTTTTATTCCCAAAGCTATTAATTCCTAAAAATTATAATTCCTAAGACTAGAGTCCTAAGGTTGTTGTTTGTTGGTTCAATACAAGTAATATTTGATACAATATAATAATGAAATTTACTTCCAAACATAAACGTGGTAGAGCCATGCTGCAGTTATATTTGTAGTATAGTTGTTATAATTTGTGAGAATTATAAAGAGGAGCCACTACATAGATCAAACAAAAAGATCTATAAAAACCCGCGTGAAAGAACATATAGCCGACGTGAAGCACCGACGCTCCGGGAAGTCTGTAGTCTGTGAACATTTTCAAGATCGTCCCCACCATTACATCAGATTTGATAAACTACAAATAGTTGCAAAAGAACACCGATTCCTACTAACGATGATAGTACGCGATGCTATTGAAATTAAAAAAAAAAACATCCTAATTTCAATAGAACAAATGGATGGCTTCTTCCATCTGCTTGGGATCCTATAATTAACAAAATTAAACCCAAACCCGAGCATACCACTGCAAGACTTCAAGATACTGTCAGCTCGTTCTGCGTAGACTGGACCAAAAATGAATATTCAAAAACTGAAGATAGCCGGGCTAACTATGACATTGGGACGTCAAATACAGTTTTATTCAAGAATATAATAATTTTGTATTCAATATAGATGTAATTCTTATTGAAAGTCATTTTTCACTTTAGCACTGGTTCGGAAAAAAGCTCTGTCCTGGGAAGAACCAGCAAGAAACCCAGCGGGACTTTTAAAAATAAATTTTGCAATATGAATGGTTACAAACACTAGAAACAGCTTGAAAGCGACCACTTCATTCCCTGGGGTTATTATCAACCCTGTATTCATTTATATTATAATAACGCTTTTTATACAGTTTTTGTTTAATTAAATATTTAAAGTTGGTAATAGAGAGAACTTGTATATTTTCTATACTGTGAGGCCAAACTCAATATATTTATTTCTTTAAATTTTTATCTAAGACACTCTCTCGGCTTCAGGTTTGCAATAGCTCTTATGGCCCTCTTGTGCAAAACAAAATAGTTTCTAAATCAGCCGCATAACTGAAATAAACTAATCTGTCTCGACACTAGTGAGATCTCAAGTCTTTTTGACAGCATAAACAGCAGAGCTTAGTCTGCTTGCTAGTTTGAACATATGGGGCCCCCACTGATGCTTTATGTCAAGAGTGATGCCAAGAAAAAGACAAGCTTGTATTAAAAAATAGTGGCTAGATAAGGTGCTATATCCATTATAGATGCATTAACTTTTCCGTTTCCACAAGTCTGCCGTTTTCTTAACGTCAACAGTTAGAATATTTAACAATATCTTTTGGCATTACTCCATAGAATTTAAAAGTATTTGAACAAGCCTTTACATTTTGTTTAAGCCATGATTCGGCGACAGTAGGATAAGAATTTAATGATTTTGTTGTCAAAAAGAAACGTCAACATTCGAGTTAAATTATTGTTAACATTCAATTGAAAATCCTTTACTACCTGGTGGTAGCGCACTTTAGTCGAAAACTTTATTCTTGCCTCCATACCGATATATCGACTGGAAGACTAATGGGCTACTAATAAGGAGCAATAATGAGGATTTTCTACCCTTCTTTGAAGTGCCAGTAATAAAAAGTTGTTACCTTGTAAATTGAAAGAACAACATTAAAATAGATAATATTTAATAAATAATTTATTTACACTTATGCAGCTTTAGTGAGAAATAGATTAGGATAAAATGCAAGGCCCTCTATTGATTCGTCTCTGCATGCTAGGCCGCGGCGTTCCGTAGTGAAAAGCCTTTCTCGTGCTAGTAACACGGACACATTAGCCAGTTGAGACAGCTTCACAGGAGTAAGAGATCCATTTTCTTCAAGCTGCAAACAGAAAAAATGATTACTGCAGACCAAGATGTACTGTATCATATGTTGTGTATTAGATTCTTGACCATATGGCTGTGTATTAGACTATACAGCCATATGGTCAAGAAATACATTTGTACTGTTTACACATCTAATTTTAATAACATTTTATTGTAGCTATGTGCAATTACACCAATCGTGTAGTCAACACGATTGGTGCAATTTATTTCATGTTCTTTTAATGTAATGAAAAATTACTAGATTTTTATTTTACTCCTTTTTATCAAAGTTTCTTTGGGTAACGGAAATATGTCCCAGAACTGCTCGGTAATATGAGGAACTCATAGAATAACAACGATGTGACTTTGGAAACACTGCTACAACATCATGCTGACTCGGATGCCTTTTCGTTACCGCAACCCAAAGTATGTGTATTATTTAATTTTGTTTGCGTTTTAGTTGTAATTTCTTTGTAATAAAATTGTGATGTGTGTGCATAGAGATATAATACCTATGGAGACGGCATATTCTACTATAGAAATAATAGTTATACAAATATCTATAATATCGACACACACTTGTCAAAAATACTTTTGTTTCTTTTTAACAAAGCAGTAGCTTCATTGGAAAAGGGAGACAACAACAGTTTGTCAATTGCTTATTTTGACAACACTTTCGTGTGACATCATTAGCTCATCCATGCGTGACTGCGTCGCCATGTTAAGCGCCGAGTTTTGTAGTAGATCTGCTGTCAAACTGTTGAATGCTAAAAGTTTTTTTGTTGTGTATTGCAGTGCCTTCATCTTATCTTATAGTAGGTGTATCTTCTATTTATATATATTATGTTACTAGATAACCACCTAAATTTGATTTGATTGTAACTCTTAATTGAGAGGCATTTCTGAGTTTTTGCAAAACTAACGTACGGCAATTGATTTTTAAATTAAAATAATTTTGTGAAGCATAATTAAATCACATCACGTGTTATAAATACTTCTATATTTTGACGGTAGTTCAATGAATGAAGTAGTTAGATTGTGTTACTATTCACTTATAATATTGTAACATTTTCAGCATATTTCTAAGCAAATAAGTGTCTTACACCTTACTTCAAGTGTTATGGTAGGGATGTATTTTTTTATTATTAGTTTATGTAAGATGCATAATTTTGTAATTTATTTTGCCAATAAAAAAAGACTGCTAAGAAGTTTTGTAATTATTAAAAATCCCAGTACATGTATGTTTGTCGCTACTAGTCGGGGGAGGAAAAACAAAAAGTCTACGGAATAAAATAATTAAGCAACAAATCCGATTATATATAATGAGAAAAAATTCATATTAGTTAAACTATCAATATCAGCTGCGCATATTGCAGAGTTACAACCCTATAAAAGGCGGCCATTTTATGCGTCAGATTTTTGTAGGTAGTTACGCCAATTATGTAGGTATGCCCAGTCCATATACTTCTAAGTCAGTGATCAGGCTACGGATTTAATTTCTATCTACACAAAAGCCATAAAACTGTCAATCACATTTATTCCTCAGATAAGTTATTTCACAATTAAAAATTCAGCCCCGTACCTATGTAAATAAAGTAAATTAAGCAACAAATTCGATTATAAATGAAATGAGAACAAATTCATATTAGCTAAAATATCGATATCAGCTGCGCATATTGCTAAGTTACAACCCTATAAAATACGGCCATTTTATGCGCCAGATTTTGTAGGTAGTCACGCTAATTCTGTAGATATGCCCAGTCCATATACTTTTAAGTCAGTGTGTATGTGTGATTGGCCACAATAAATCATTCATTCATTCATTTTATCACGTTTCCTAAGCCGCCAAGCATTGAATCTGATACAATATATCCGCAACTGTATCCCGATCTAGGCTTCGGTATAGTTACCGCTTTAGTTGTCGTGTAGTGGCGGTGTAAAATAATCCACTACCCCCATATTATCTCTCTCTCGCTCTCTTGCTCTCTCTCTCTCGCTCTCTCTCTCTCTCTCTAGCTCTAGCTGTCGCGAGTGGCAACAAAGGGAAATAAAACATGCGATGGCAGCAGCAACTTGCTGAAAACAGCTCAAAATAATAGAAACCTGGATTTGCCAGCCCTACTGCGGCGTAGCAAATATCCCCCTCTATCAGACTTTTGAAAGGTAATGATTGAATTAATTACAAAGTGTGAGACCTTTAATGTTAACCCTTAAGGATGACAGAGAATCTATAGCCACAGCAGGCTGCAGTAACTATAACCATCAGGACTGTTAGTTATTATTTTGTTGCTTGAATGTTATAAATAAATCACCCCTACACAACATAAACAATAATTAATGTTATGTTTGCTTAAATGTTGACTTACCAATTGACCTGTAACTTTAGCAATTTCTTCGTCACTTTGACTATTTAATTGTAGAACGCATGCCCCACTTGGAAACTTTCGGAGTGACATTGGTGCACCAATTGTCCCCAGCAGCCTTAAAATAAAGAACATTCGTTGGTTGACTTCATCTTTCAGCATTTATTTGTTTTAACAAGCACGACTTGAATTAAGGTAATAAATTTAACAAAGTAGTGAAATTGGTATATGTGGGTTTATAGTTGTATGGAATATTTAGAAGTAATGTTAAGTCCGCCAACACACTTTGGGACAGCACAGTAAACACTTCCTTGTCCATAAAACCCTATTAGATATGAGAGGAGATCCGCGCCCAAGAGTGGGACGTATATAGGCTGTAACATTTAACTTTAATGAAGTTGTGCTCCAATAGGGGTTAGCGGATAACACATATCTTCGAAATTTTGTAGTGTATCTCTAATTGAACCGACTGCCACAGGAGGCTAATGTTGTTTGATTGTTTTATTGCATGTTTGTCAGTTCTTTTGTAACCTACTCTAGCTTTAACAGCTTAATGGATTTAGATGTGCGAAGTATAGTTACATACGTATTTATCTCAGGAGTATTACAGGCTACAACATAGTGGTAACCAATACGATGTTCGCCAACAATACACAATATGGTGATGGTTTGAGGAGAGTTAAAGCGAACTAGCCGTTTTATAAGTTAATAATATTTCGCTGTAGTGTTTATCCCCCACTAGACATGTGACATTCATTAATTTCTAGTGATACGATAAATCAACTATTGATTCGTATTTCGAATCGAGTCATTCAAATGGTTAATCCGAGTTTTAGTACTCTGTGATCCGTGAGACCAGCTCGATAATGTCAGTCGTCGGACATTACTATGCTATACCACTCTTTTGTCGTAGATCCTGTCAATCATTTGATCGGGAACGTTTAAAAAAGTTATTGCAATCATCAATACTTTAAGGCGATCCGGGTCAAGTGAAGGAATCATTTACGATTGACACATATCTAACCCCCACTTTGATTGGTTATGCATATTGTACGAAATACAACAAACTAAATACACTTTAGTACGTGGTAATATGCCGCTTTTAGCTTTGCCACGACGTGCAAAAAAACTACGCAACGAATAATGATATACATATTAGATATATTTGAGATGTTTTTGATCAAAGAATACATAACACTCGTTATGTATCACGAGTTCATTTAGTTCAATCGCTCTTGATAAAATAAAGTTCATAGTTCTTGTATCAATCTTTTGTATCCGTATTTCAGTAATCCAGAGTTCAGGTGATAGAGACTGAATGCATCCATGAAGGTTAGAGAACAGGAGAACGATCACCGTATAAAATAGTGTCCCAGAAATATGGACACCATAAGTGAGGCACTGCGATCACTAAGTTCGGTCAATAAAAGTTATTTTTAGTCTATTTTTCCGATCAGATGCTAAATCACTTGCACATCCACGCACAATAAAATATTTTTCCATTTTTTTATGTTTCTTTTTATCAAAAATTATAAAATTACGGAGCATGAAAATTTTCTCACTAATGCCGCGGAGAAAATTTGCATATTATTCAACTAACTTCACCTACTTATACTCATAAACAGCTAACGTCGCAGTCACTACTCACCCACATCAGCGCCGCTATACATTCTACAATTTTCAAGGACAGGCGGGCTATGCTTTAGTACGTAGTGATCGTTCTCTTGTTCTCTAACCTTCATGGTAGCATCGATCATATTTATCTACACATATCTTGTTAACATTCATTACTGCTATATACATCATTTTAATTGTTATGTTGAGAACATAATTAACTAGGGTGGACTCTTAATTATTTGTGTCTGAACATGGTTTCGTCCGACCTCAGCGACAGTACAGACATAGAAAGGGAATGAAGGGTTCATTCAGTTCGAACCGATATGATTGCTCGTAAATTCGTGCAATTTTCGAGGGAGGTTAAACTCATTCTATTAGTGCGCTTTGCATCTAACTTTACACGTACAGCCTGTGGAGAGCGAACACGCAAAGGGGCCTAACGAGCCTTTCGGATCCAGTATAATAACGCGTTCCGGGTGCTGTACCGTCGCTGCAGCGCATCAGAGATGTTTTCTCATGCTCATGCAGATTGTTTAAATGCAACTATGCGTAAAAGGGACGCATCAATTCTACGCAGGGTTACGGCCAGTCCCAACAGTATTCCTAGAATGATAGATGACAGGGTAAATTGTCCATATCAGCAATACTATAGTAAAATGAATATGCCCAAATTAAATCAACAAAGAAAGAACACTGAGTGCATTTCAAGTGATGTAAAAATCTAACGAAGACCATGTTCAATTAAGTAGGGAGTCTCCGCATTCATTGATGCGGAATCGGCTTCAGTAGGGCAGAAAAACCTTTATGTCTATAAAATACTGGTGTTGGTAATGCCATTCTCATAGGTTCAGCTTGGACGCTGCGTCGCGATGTCGGCCGACAGCTAAACGAGTTACCGATCAGCTGATCGCATCCGTTACGGCGCTGAAAGTAGCCGAACGCCCACGTCGACGTGTTTGTTGTTGTGACGACAACAGCCGAACGACGTAGAAGAAGACTGCACGGCGTTGCAATGATGCGCTCGTATGATTCCACCTCCGACGGCAGCTGAACGGCACAGAAGATGGCCAAACGGCGTTGGATAACAGTCGAATGATGAACGATGAATCGATTGCCGAACGAATGCGAACAGCCGTCGCGATGACCGTTCGGAAGAGTCGATTGCCAAACAAAAGAGAACAGCCGTCGCAACGTCCGTTCTGTGGAATCTATCGACTCGATCGATCTAATCGACTGCCGAATGCAAGTGAACAGTCGTCGCGAAGGCCGTACAAACAAATCGGCTGCCGATCGCTTGTGAATAGCCGTCGCAACAACTGATCGGCGTTAAGCCGAGTAGTGTGTTGATACGTACTCGCCTTAAGCCGATTACGCGTCGATAAATGTGGCGAATCTCTTATTGTAAGAGCACATACATATGTCACATACACATATGCATTTAAAATTATTTGCCAACCAGTAACATATACTATGTCCGCACTGTTTTAAGTGTAAGTGTGTGCGTTGAGCGTCTAGCAGTATACCTTTAGGGCTGATAAAGAAAGCAAGAAGAAAGATGTGTGCGTAAGTACGTCAAGAAGTAAAGCATGATTTCTGCATCACGTTAAGTATCAATCTTTCTTTGTTGATCTGAGTTGATTACATAATTTCATTTAAGTAACTTTCCAATTAACTATAAAAATATAAGTAAAATAAAAAAACGACGGGTTGCACTCCGGGAGTGCCGGCAGAAGTGAAAACTTGAATATTAACGTTGTGCATTTTTGATATTTTGGAATGGTTAGGGACTAATTTTGCACGAATTGCTTTAATTATCAGTATAAAAGTACTATCATTTATGTAGTAGAATACAATATTTATTTATTGCGCTATCATACACAAACATGACAATTTATATTACATTCGCGCAAGCGCCCCGCGCCGCCTAAACGAAACAGCAGGCCGCCGCGCAGTAGAAAGAGAGGGGGATACTTCCCCTCCTACGCCGTCCGTCTTACGCATTTTCGATCAGGGTCATGTGTCCTGACGCGAGTTTAACAATTTTTACCCGTTACAGAAAAAGTGTCCCAACACCGCTAAAGAAGTTTTCACTTTAAAAAAAATAATCAAAAATACATACTTGCAAGCATTTAATAAGTCCTCAGGTGATATCAGCTCCAAACCTCTTGCTCTATTCACTCTGCACCACACGTCGGCTAATGACATGATGCCGCCACAGTCCTTGAAAGACAAAAACAATATGTATAAATACAAAAATTGTAAGGTGTGCAAGTATGATCTGAGCTATCACATCTTTTTATGGTATATAAATATACCTGCCTTAATATTAACACTTTCACTGTACAATTTTAAGTCACAACAGTAAGACAATAGCAATGAACAATATGCATAGTAAACGGGGACAATGAAAGGGTTCAAACAAATCAAATTACAAGTTATCGACACAAAAAAAATTAAATATTTTTATGGAGAACTAACTCTTTAACTAAATACAAATAATGAACTGTGGTTCATCATACTACTACTAAACATAGGACTCCCACAAAGAATGCCACAAGCACGGTCCTGAGCTACTGCATCCATTTACTTCCTGCATGTCTTTCCAGTGCCCTGTTTATCAAAACTCACAAGTCTACTTATTCACAAGTTACACTTTACAAGAAAGTTTTTACAAGTTCGAGTAAATTACACTTGTAGGTTCTACTTGTAAGTTCTAAAATCAAAAATGTGTGCCGCATTTTTTCTCGCCATTATGTTTTTGCTTTTTATTGAATATCCTTATTTAAACGCATGGCTGTATGGTATATCGCCTGTGCCTAATTTTGATGGGACATTAAAAAATGTAGTAGCACAGGTAGTAGTGACAAAGTATTTCCGCCTTTTATATATAATTTGAAGTGTATTATTATATTTGATATTTGGCGATTTCTTGTAAAACGTCTAGAAATGATTAAAAAAAAAACGATTTTACAACTGATTCGCGACAAAAAGTTCTTTAAGTCGAAACCTTCCATTAAATTCATAGGTCGTCTCCATATAACCGTAGTCGTTTCTTGTTCTATATGTTCCTGGTTCCATTATTCTAATAATTTCATCATCGCTTGAGTCACTTGACTATATTATAAAAATGACAATCAAACAAAAAAAATATTAAAGTACTGCTTAAAACAGACGGAATGGAGAGTCGCTGGACACTCTTTAGATTTGCTATGATTTTCTACAAATTGTAACTTACAAGGGATTTTTGATAAACAAAATCACGAATAAAAGCGTAAAAATATACTTGTGAAATAAATAATGAGCCTTGTAACTTGTAATTTACATGTGCAGTTTTGATAAACACATATTTGTAATAATTAATTTTTTTTTTACAGGAAAATTGCTTGTAAACAAGGCTTGTATATATTGCTAAACAGGGCACAGGTCGCCACTCCATCTAGTGTGGGGCCACTCCACACTTCACCTACCAGTAGGAGGGTACCACTCGAGAACCTAGCTTCCACACAACAAACTAAAAAAATATTAAACTGTATTAAGGAATGAGAGGCTGTAACTTTCTACTGTTTACTTATCCTTACCATTAAAACTGCAACCATCATATCTGATATCTGTTGTGCCAATCCCACATAGTAATCCGAGTCAGATCTGAATGCATCTCTAGTAACAGGATCATCAATGCCTAAGCTCATGAGGTATGATTTAAACCTAACTGTATCGTCTTCAGATATATCACCCTGTTTTTCCTGTAAAAAATAAAAACAATTGATAGATACATACTGTGTAACTAACTCCTGCAGTAATCAACTACTAATAATAAGACAAAATTAAATCAAAGTTTGTGACCCGAATATGGCAAAGCCAAAAAGAGGTTATGATTTTAACAAGCTTTGTATGTGCGATCATCTGTAATCATCAGTCTTTTGTCAAATGAGGTATTGTTGACATAAGACACAACGTAACGCGACGTAAGACGTTAAGTATGAGGCGACAATGGATTGACTAAATCATGGGTTATCTAACAACTATCTAACTCTTATTAATTATAGGATCCCAAGCAGGTGATAGTACCCAGGCTCCTTCTCTATTGAAATTAGGATATTTTTAACTTCAATAGCCTCACGTATCATCCTTGGTAGGAATCGATGATACGCGAGGCTATTGAAATTAAAAAACATCCTAATTTTAATAGAGAAGGAGGCTGGGTACTACCACCTGTTTGGGATCCTATAATTAATAAAATTAAAACTAAACCCAAGCATACCACTGCAAGACTTCAAAATACAGTTAGTTCATTCTGCGTAGATCGGACCAAAGACAATAATTAAAAAGCTGAAGGTACTCCGGGTTAACTTTGACATCGGGACGTCAGTCACCTCAGTCCCCCGTGACCATGGGTGCTGGAAAGCACCCGAAACGTCGGGTATTAAAATTAATATAAATAAAACGCGATAAAATCCGTAAAAGTAGTTTTAATCAATGTATAGTGTTCGCGTAAATATAAGAAATCATTAGTTACTAGTTAAAGTAAACTGTCGTTAGTATGGCTGATTTAGTATCAATAGTGTAAAAATTGCCGTGTAGTGGCGGTTGAGAATATCCACTATCCCATATCTACCCGTGGGTGTCGTAAGAGGCGACAGAGGGAGACAGGCAGGAGATAGGCAGCAGCGTCTTCCTGATAACAGCAATGATATAATAAAAAACTGCGGTTGCCAACCCGCTCGCCAAGCGTGGCAACTATGGCAAATATCCCGCCATGAGTAACGGCGCAAACAAACGGCCCCCAGTCCCCGGCGGCCCCGCTATTCCTGGCTACAGTGGCGACCATGGTAACGGCGGGGCAGGGGGTACTAAGAATCTCCGGTGTAGGTTCGGTTGCCACCTACGACGACACGACCTGGCAACATATAACGCACGACCCCTGAGGACTGACGAGAAGATAATGGAGTTGGAAGAAGAGGTAGACAAGTTGCGCTGGCATATTATAGGGTTATCCGAGGTCCGAAGAGAGGGGGAGGACACGGTAATCCTCGAGTCCGGCTACTTGTTCATCACCGGGAGGGCGACCATCTGTCCCAAGGAAGTGTCTGATTTATCGTCCACAAGTCTTGTCAACAACGTTGTAAAGATTGGGAGTGTGTCGACGAGGGTCACGTACCTGATACTCAGAATCACCAAACGGTATTCGCTGAAGGTCATACAGGTTTACGCACCAACCTCGGCACATCCCGATGAGGAGGTGGAGGAAATGTATGAGGATATTTCCAGAGCCATGCATTCCTCCAAAACCCACTACACGGTTTTGATGGGAGACTTCAACGCAAAAACTAGGCACAAGAGAAAGCAGTTAGCTAAAGTTAGGGAAATTTGGAGTAAGGCAACGGAACCTTAGGGGTCAGCAGCTGGCCGACTTCATGGAGATAGAGGGACTCTTTATGATGAATTCTTTCTTCCAGAAGCGGCCCCACAGGAAGTGGATCTGGTCGAGACCCGACGGTTCGACAAAAAATGAGATTGACTTCATTATGACGACCAGACGCCAACTGTTCAGTGATGTCTCAGTGATCGCAAGGGTTATAACTGACAGCGATCACCGAATGGTTAGAGGCACACTGAACCTAAACGTTAAGTTGGAGAGGTCTCGTCTAATGAAGTCAACGCTCCGTCCCCCTCGTGCTCTAATCCAGAATCCCGAAACCTTTCAGCTCGAGTTACGTAACCGCTTTCAGTGCCTAGAAGATTGCAATGAAGTGGACGATATGAATGACAAGCTCGTGGAAACAAGTCCATGCGGTCGGAGCTAAGTTCTGTAAGACCCGCCGCAGAAGAACCCAAAAACTCTCCGATCACACTCTTAATCTCATATGATATGATGATACGAAAAACAGCAGTATTAAGCTGCTGTTTTACGCTGGTATTCTGTGAGAGCGTGGTCCTACTGCAGTTGAGCCAACCCACTCATGCTACAACCGTAATAACGTAACATGTCATGGTTTAGTTAACTAAATGATCATTAGTATAGCTGAAACACTATGTATATTGACATTCACATGGGACTACTTTTGACAAACATTTTGGTGATCACAGTAGCAGATGTCTGACCAGTCTGCATATTTTACATATGCCATATATGAGATGGTATACCGCCATACATTCACCACTAGGTCTTAATACAAAATGAATATATCTATTTGTTAATAGCCATTTTTCATAGTCACAACTTAATACACCCATTTAACAAAAATAGAATATTGGAATGTCATATGCTGCCACAAAACAAATAAATGAGATATCCTGTAAAGTAAAAATACACACCCTTATTTTTGTTGATATTGTTTTTGATATAGAAACCATGTCTTTCGCCTTCTCCATAAGTTTTCGTAGATCTTGAAATGCAACACTGATACTTTCATCAGTCGCTCTGTGATGTTCCTCTATACTTCTTTCAATTCCAACAATTCCTGAGCGAATTTTCGAATTTACAGGTGTAACAGGAGACTTAGTAGATGTATTTACAGATTCTGAGCTAGTATGTTGTTGTTGTGGTGTTCTTTCCCATGCTTTCGCATTAACAGCATCGTTTAAAGCTTTATAAAATACAGGATCTACACCATCTTTGAAAGAGAACTTGATGAAATGGTATGGGCTAACTACTGCTGGCCCAGGTCCTTTGCCTAGAATCCAAAAAATAAATGAGTAAAACGAAAAGTATGTAATAACTTTATTTAAGAGTAAATTCATAGAATACTATAATACGTACATAATAGAACGGGGGAGTGGGCGGAGCCCGTGTAGCCACTAAAATGTCACTAACGCGTCAAGTCACACGTATAACTGTCAGGACGAGATGTGTTTTGAAGTTGCAATCGTTTCCAAATTTCGCTTGCAAATTATTTAGAAAATGCCAAATTGTACCCTATTTACAAATAAATATGTATTAAAATCTGATAATAAGACGTAATTGCTTGTATGTGTGCTCCCGGCGACACCAACCCTCCTACAAAATAAGATTGACAGCCATTCTATTGTGTATTATAGTATTCTATGAGTAAATATGAGTTCTTTGTTTGTTTTTGTAGTGTGTTGTGAATTGTGATAGCATTTAGGACTCTTTCCATTTCCATTTCCGAGGTATTGTAAAAGTAAGTAAACTAATAAAATGTTCAGCTTGTGACAAATGGCAAAAAAACTAACTCAAAAATCTGGACAATTGCAAATTATTTTTGAATGATCAGTATACCATACACAGAAAATTGTTTTTTCCTAATACTGGCTAGTTTGAAGTTTGATATTTTGCATTTAATTGAAATTTTGAAGCCTATGACATTTATTATAAAAACACTAATATTTAATTTACTTTTTAATAAAAGTTCTGGCATAGCATCAATGCTGCTGCATAGACAGTGTACAATATCAACGACATGTATGGACACTGTCTTTTCTCCTTTCAGCAATTCCACTTATCAGACAACATAGTTCCTTTTTAGGCTTTGTATTTTACGTCATTTAGCTGTCGGAGAGTGGTGAACAAATTCTGATATTATTAGTATTATGTCAAAAACACCCATTCAGAGTTGGGTACACGATTTAAGAACGAAAATGGTACTTGCAGGCAACTTATCTTGTTGATAACAGCAAAATAACAACAAAAAACTTTGGTTGCCAACCCACTCACCAAGTGTAGAAGGTAGAGCTGAAGGTAGTGAAATTTGTGATAGGGCAACGGAACCCAAGGGGTCAGTACACGCAATTGTAACGATCCAAGAGCAAGTTAGTTTTATTCAACACTATTCCAATGATATTCTGGACCTGTCTGAGCGAAATGGCTCTCCAGCACCTTAAAAACGGCAAGTCCGCGGGCGATGATGGAATTACAGCGGAGCTTCTGAAAGTGGGTTGGAAACTGGTACTTGAAGTTATTCAGAAGCTCTTTAATTCCGTTCTCCATGGTGGCACTACATTGGAAGCGTGGAGAACAAGTGCTGTGGTCTTGTTCTTCAAGAAAGGCGACAACGCTTTCTTGAAGAACTACATACAGATTTCCTTTCTGAGCCGCGTCAACGTGCTGTTTTCGAGAGTCATTACGAATCGTCTCGCACGCAGACTCGACGCCTTCTAGCCTCCCAAACAAGCCAGTTTCCGAAAAGGCTTTAGCACCATAAACAACATACATACCCTTGGCAAATTGTACAGAGGACCGAACAGTAAAATCTGCCACTATGTTTTGCATATGTTGACTATGAGAAAACCTTTGGTTCCGTCGAAATTTGGGCGATGCTGCAGTCCCTTCAGCGGTGCCAAGTTGACGGTCGGTATATCGAAGTGCTGAAGTGTTTGTACGGTAGGGCTACAATGGCTATCCGAGTGCAGAACAGGAGTATGAAACCTATCCAACTACAGAGAGGTGTAAGACAGGGTGACATTATATCCTTGAAACTCTACCACTGCATTGGAAGACATTTTCTAGCTACTGGACTGGAAAGGATATGGCATTAACCTCAATGGCGAGTACATTACTTACCTTCGATTTGCTGACAATATAGTCCTTATGGCAGAATCGCTGGAGTACTGAATGATTATGCTCAATGACCTCAATAGTGTTTCCCAACGGCCTATCCATTATCTTAAGATGAACATGGACAAAACAAAGATCATGTGTAACATCCATGTCACATCTGTGCTGTTGTTGGGAGCACTAAGCTCAAAGTTGTTGGGTATGTTTACCTGGGACAAATGGACTAGGTAAGTCCAACTTCGACTGAGAGGTCAATCGATGGATTCAAATTGGCTGTGCAACATTTGGGAAATTACGACACATCTCATCAAGTATACCTCAAAACTTAAAAACAAGATTGTACACCCAGTGTGTGTTGCCAGTGATGACTTAAGGATCTAAACATGTTCATTCACTGCTGGCCTTATGGGGGGAAGCTCATGGTCGCTCAGCAAGCTATGTGTGTGTGTAAGTGATAAGCTTAAATGAAGATATCCGCAGTAGTACTAGAGTGACAACATAGCCCAATGGATTAGTAAGCTGAAGTGGCAATGGGCTGACCATACATCTTGAAGAACCGACAACTATGTGGAAAAAAGGGTTCTCGAGTGGCAGCCTCATATCAGGTACAGACGAAGTGCAGGACGACCAAAAAATAAATTTTAAAATTTGTATAATCAATTGTAAAATCAATTAACAAACCACTAGACCAACGAGGCAAATAAACAGATACTAATGTGACAAGTATCCTCATGTTATATAAATTATACATATTTTTTTGATATTAGAATGTTTCAAAAATAAGACTATCTACATAATGTATGTAAGCAAGATATTTTAAGAAAGTGAATATTTACCTGGAAGGGCAGGACCCAAATGCAATAAAATTCTTTTTGGACCACCAAGACCAAATACGCCACTATTCTCTTCTTCTAAACAAAAAACGTAATATAGTGGAAGAGACAAACAAGTAAGTCCTTTAGGTATATCACCTGGCTTTCCCCATAGTATTCTATGAGTTGTAAGTACTACTTCACCATCTACATATTGTGTCTAAAATAAAAATAGCAGTTACTTAAAAAAGGACCTTGGATGGACAAAAGTGGTATATTAATGAATAAAACTTTCTTAGATATACATATAGGTCTAAGAAAGTATTGACATACTCTGAAAAATTATATGCTGTTAAAATACCATGTCTTTAATGCATTAAAGGATAAAATCCCTTAGAATAATTGTGAATTAATACACAAGATTTATCGTCATTTGGGTTTTGAATGCGTATGAATCTATATAGCACACATCAATATTTTAAAAAGTTTCGTTTAGTATTACCACTTTGCTCTGATCATACAGGGGATAACCAGGAAAAAAAAGAGAGATTAAAGTGTTTTTTATTAGTGTCATAGTACATCTGATACAGCCCAGTTAAACTATAGACATCCAGTACTAGCGTAGTGGTGGGGTGGGGGGGGGGCTCAGGGGAAGCCCTCCTACCGTTCTAATTTATGAGTAATATTTTTTTTTTGTAAAATCATAACCTCGCTTTTTTACACAGTAATATTGACAAAGCGACTTCTGCAAAGGCTTTGGCACTGCGGGAAGTGCAGCCACTTCATCCTTGTGTTGCAAATCACAGGCCCCTGAATGAGCCGTCTGAGACTGTCGCAACGGCACAGATTAATAAATAGTTTACCAACAGATACATCACTCCCATACAATAGCGAAAATACCTACGCTATAATAGCCTACAAAATCTTAATAATATATATCTGCTGCTCGTAGCGAGAAGAAAATGTACCATAAGTACGCGAACGAAGAGTCGAGATTGTGTTGCCCGCCATGCGTTTCACGTGCAAGCGCGTCATCGGACGAATGCGCTAGGGCTGTACCTATGATGATTATTGTAATAAAACGAATGTTGCGAAATACATACATAATAACAATATTTTTTATTTTTCAATCAAATATGTTTGAGTTTTATAAAATGATTTATACATTTTTTTCTTCTCTGAATTCCCGGTTATTAAATTTTATCGTTGAAGTTTCCTAAATCGCGTAAATAATTTTAATAAATAATCATGAGGAAAACAGGAGCAAAGCAGAGGAAAATCAATGGTTTATAAAATTTGCAACACAGTGCTACCAGGCCGATTCATTATGACATTGTCAAAATTATTTAAGAATGCTTTCTAATTCTTCAATATAATTATTAAACGGTTCCGTTGGGACTTTTAGCCTACCATAAAAAGATGAATCTTTATTTTAAGCTTTGAAATTAGCATACAGTGTTGTTTCGTCAACATTAGGGTTTTCCTGTAACAAAGCATAGAAGTTATTTTTTTTTCTACATTTATCTACTGCACAATAATAACTTAAGGTTTTGGCATTTCGACAAGTAAGCTCGGGAAACGTGCGCGGCGCTTGCACCGTGCTCAGGCGGGCGTGCGGCGGCCCTATGTCGGTTGTATCGTGGACGATACACAGAGCGGTAGGCATATAACGCGTGGCCTAGAGCGAGTGACGGAGGCCTGGCAACGGTTGCCGAAGCTGCGGAGGCTAGTGTGAGTGCTGCTCACCCTCCGCGCCTATGGCTTAACAAAAATACTCTAGTGGTAGGGCAGATAAAACAGTTGGGGCATGCTAATTCGGTTTAAGAACAGATTCAACCAATCATATATATAAAGTCAAGTTGCCCTAAGCTCTGATATGATAGTTGTAAATGAAATAATGTAATATGAATTGTTATACACCTACACAGTTGCATGGCTTCTAAAGTTGGTCTGCCGCCTGTGGTACGTGATGAACTTGGCAATCTTGTGGTTGAAGGGTCTAAAATTGCCGAAGCATTTACTTGTGAATTTGAGAAAGCATACTCATTGGAACCTGACCTTAATAATATTTCCATACCTGTACCAAGAGTTAAAAACTCCATAGATGACATCCATTTCACATCACAGGACGTGCTTATGGTTCTCAAGTCCCTAAATGTAAACTCTGCTTCTGGGCCTGATAATGTCCCTGGAATATTTCTCCAATCATGCGCTGAAACCATCACACCTGTCTTGGTCAATATTATGAATGAATCATATGCTTCAGGTGAGGTACCAAAAGACTGGAGACATGCTATAGTAACACCTGTTTTTAAAAAGGGTGATAAATTAGCTCCAGCTAACTACAGACCAATCAGCTTAACAAGTATTGTTTGCAAATGTATGGAGAAGATTATATGTAAAAAAGTAAGAAAGTTCCTAGCAGATGAGAAAATTATTCCGGATAACCAGCATGTCTTTGTGGAACGGCGCTCGACTACAACTAACCTTCTTTCCTGCTACCACAGATGGACTGAGGAATTAGATAAACATAATCCTATGGATATATTCTACCTGGACTTTGAACGGGCCTTTGACAAGGTACCACACAGACATATTTTGGTTAAATTGGAACATCTGGGTATCCGAGGAAATCTTCTGAAATAGATCATAAATTATCTGAGTGGAAGAACCTTTCAAGTAAGAGTTGGAAATGTATATTCGCAACCTAAAGACGTCTTCAGCGGAGTGCCACAAGGATCTGTACTCGAGCCTACCCTCTTTGGCATTTTTGTTGCTGATCTGAGTTCTATAATACACTCAGAAGCCTGTTTCTTTGCTGATGATGTGAAATACTTCGGAAATCCTCTATTGAACCAGGGAACCTTAAGAGAAGACTTAGAGCGTATACAGGAGTGGACAAAAAATTGGGTTTAGTTTAGTTTAGTTTACGACGGGCTGTTTTCCGCAACTCCACGTCTAAGCGCGTATTTTGCGTGTGGGCAGGAATAATATGCTTATTCGAGCCAAAAAAAAATTGGGTTATAAGACTTAATATAAGACTTAATCCTTCTAAGTGCACAGTTCTGCATCTAGGCCGAAACAATCCCAGAGAAACGTATAACATTGGAAATTCAACAGTACAGTCAGTTAACTCACACAAGGATTTAGGTGTCTTAATATCATCCGACCTCAAGTGGGCTGACCATATCCATAGTATTGTCAAAAAGGCAAACAGCATTTTGTATGCAATCAGACGATCGTTTCAGCATCTGACTCCAGATACATTGCTTAAGGTTTATAAAACATACGTCTGACCGCTGATAAAGAGTATGGATTTCAAATTTGGAACCCCTATTTTCTTAAGGATGTGGATTTGCTGGAGAGTGTACAGAGAAAAGCCACAAAAATTCCATTATGCCTTCGCAAAAAGCCATATGAAGAGAGATTAAAAATATTGAATCTAACAACGCTGAAATCTCGCCGTACCAGAGGAGACCTTATTGAAACCTACAAAATATTGACACATAAATATAATTGCAAAGAGCTGCCACATATTTTTAACATCAGCAGTATCCACCGACCTAGACATCCTAACTATATGAGATTGGCCCACACCCGCTCATACACTAATGTGGGACATCACACACTAAACAACAGAATCATAAACATATGGAACAAGTTGCCTTAAGACGTGGTAGATGCTCCTTCTGTGATTAGTTTTAAAAACAAATTGGACAAATGGTGTAAAGACAATCCAATTTAGTGTATTCTTAGTGTGAACTTGGACTAATATAAAACACCAACACAGATATAGTCATATCAGCTATAAGCTGCTCGCCTATTACCAGATAATAATAACAATAATTTTGTTTACTGAAAAACCCGTATGAATCCAGTCTTTAGCCACAAATGGATTATCTCGGTCCCAGTGATAAACTTTTTTATGAGTGTATCCTTGTTAAAAAAAAAAAACAAATTGATGTATTTTGCGTTTTGTTATATGCAATTTTTAGTGAAATTTATTTTTATTGCAATTAATTCAAAAGGCATTTCCCAAACACAGTAAAAGGTTCATGCTTAACGCTGACAAGCCTCCTAAACTGAAAACATAATTAAAATCAAGTACTGGATATCTATAGCCAAACCAAGTGCCCATTTATTTTAGAATATATATGGCAGTTGTCTTATTACGAAACACATAAAATTATTTAAGTAATTTTATTAAATTAAAACCATTGAGCTATTATGTACTACGTACTAGAGGCGACACTGCATGCAGCTACTCTGTTCCACTCAACTGCGGTGCATACACCGCACTTTAATCAGTCACTCGCAAGGCGCTTGTAGAGTTGACATGTGTTGTGTTGATTTTAAAAAAATCTCTTGATAAAAATATGCCGTCGTGTGTACTTAGGTATTGCACAAATAATTCAAGAAATGTGAGTAAAATAATAAGATAGTTACTCAATAAAAAAGTATTATAGATTAATAATAAAACAAATTATTCCTAAGACGCCACCTCGTGTCATGGAACTATGAAATTAATATGTTCAGATGCGACATTTCTGTGGGTACTTAAGTAAGTGGGTACAGATGAATGTATTAGTATACACATTTTTTTAGTAGAAACATATATAAATTATTATAATTAGGCAAAATTTTTCATGTTTAAATCTTCTTATTATTCTTTTATTTTATTTTTAGGTTTCCACATCAAAGTCAAAGTGGTATAAACTCGTCCATTTTTAACTCTCGAATGCCCAGCATTTATGAACGACTCTTATTCTAATTTAAATAAACATATTTGTAATTTATATGTTATGTTAATAAGTTTTGTTAAACATACATTTAGTATGTTTTTTATATTTGACATAGATAACTTTTAAAATATTCAGATAAAAATATCATTAAAATATAATTGTGATATAATATTATGTAATAGTATATTAAATAAGCAAATATAATATAAAAAATAAATGACAAAATTTAAATATTGTTCTCGATAAAATTTACCTATTTAACAATACAATCTACTATTACCTACTGATCATTGGGTGCGTTTGGCAGAAAAAAGCGCTAGCAAGCGCTTGTAAGCAAAATGGCGATCGTAAGCGGTAAGCGCTGTCAAATCGTAAGTAGCTATTTTCCTCCAGGACACGATGTTAGTTTTAACCGGGGAACCTAACCTAATTTAAATATATGTTTGAAAAGTATTCATATTAAAAACTTAGCAATCATGAATTTTTAATAACATGTATATGTTTATTCATGTCATTATATTACTTAAAACTAATATTGCGCAAAACAACTTATAAACTCTACTTCAAAACAAACAAATTAAATAAGCAAAATGGCGGATTGTGTCTACACTGCGCTACTGAAGTAGCACCGTGTCCTGGCCGAAAACTATTTTAGCGCTTATAAGCGCTTGCTAGCGCTTTTTTCTGCCAAACGCACCCATTCTACCTATGTTTATTCTATGATAAAAAAAAAACAACCACGCGAACACAGAGTAACGCACATTTTTTGTTTGAGATAGCTGTTCTAGTACGTAAGTACATATTACTTCAATGATTATAACACAACGCAAAACTTTTTTGCAAATAGCCTAGTATTTCCCAAAAATATTTATGTTGTAACCTAATATTTTCTTTGTGTGAATTTTTAATCGCACATTATAATAGTATGAGGTGACAATATTGAGGTGAAATTACATAGAAATTATCATGAAAATAACACAGCTAAATCATAGTTTACAAATATCATCATGTTTGTAAATATTAGCAGATAAGCAGGCTGTGCCACCATGGTAATACACAAGTTTACGAGAATATACCACCAAGAAGAGACCAAGGGTAATATAATCTAAAAACATTTTGCATAACTTCTATATGACACTAACCTTATCTTCACCATCATATATTTTAACACTTTTTTCACGTTTTAGGTAGTTTTCACCCTCAAATAATCGGGCTTCAATGTATTCAAATCTGTCCATCTCTCACACCAGTAATTACTTCAGGACCATCTGTAGGAAACCATTAGGTTTTGTTCAGTTTTGTTTTAGCATAAAACTTCTTGAAATTGACGATTATATCGACAGTTGACAGGACATCACACAAAAGACATTTTGACCACAAACTAGGGATCTGGGATGTTCGATGATCATAGATGTTAAAAATTAAAACATCGATGTTTTAACATCGATGTGGCCACATGACAAACATCGTAACATCGATGTCAATGAACCTATAATCGATTAATAAGAACTTGTGAACTATGCGAACCCACAAAATAAATATCAACTAAATCTTGCATCTCCTATTAAAGGTTTAAAATTTTGAATAATTTGGAATTCCTAAACGCATCGATTACCTAAAAAATTATCATTATGGTGTGTCAAACTTAACTGTCAACTGTGAACTGTAATGTCACAGTTGTCACTGCTTTGGCTTTGTTATTCGGTGGTGTCATTTTCGGTTGTTACCTTATTCCACGTAAATTGTTTTCCGTTGCTGTTTATACCCATATATATCTACACAATTATTAATATTTAGCTGCTTTTTTGAGCTCGTCATAATGAGTTTATTGTTTGCTTGAACGTTATGAAAATAAATCATTGAGCGATCGTGAGCATATACACAATTTCACTGGATAGTGCATTCAACTGTGCATTTTATAAACGGCTGTGGATATTAACTGCTTATGCTGCCTGATAAAAATCCTTATAAAGGAATTTTTTACTCGAATGAAGAACATTTTTAATCCAAAATAATATTTAATTAATGAACTTAATTTCCATCGTTATGATCTTCCCTTTCATGACTTTCTGAAGATGATGTGGTCTCGCCATGGATAGAGTTCCATATTCCTTATATTTTCTTTAAATGTATAACATTTTTCCGTAATCTTTGTCCGGTCACTTCATTTGTCACTGTGATATCTCCACCTACCGACACTTCTCTACAACGTGCGGGGTAGGGCTGAAATTAGCAGTTTGTTTGGTCTTTCCATATGTTTTAAATAAATCTTCTATTATTTCTGAATCCTTTGTTCTTTTCTGGTCTTCATATTCTTTACCTTTTTCTTTTTGTAGTTTATCTCGGTCCCTAATTTCTGAATAGTTTCCTTCGGTATTGATATTTTTAACATAGGTATTTTGTCTCTATTTTGACGATTAAAGAAAAGTTCTGTTGGTGATTTCCCTGTTACTGAATGTGGAGTAGAGTTTATACTTCAGATATTCATACAATGTCTCTTTGAAATCTTTTTTTTTTTCATGTTGACTGATTCTAAGTAGTTTTAATATGTCACGATTTTGGCGCTCTACTTCACCATTCATCTGGGGCCAATATGGTATAGAATTTAATAATTTGATATCACACTTAGACAGAACAAAAGCTTTTAAATTCTTCACTTATAAATTGACGCCCATTATCGCACTAATTGAAACTGGGTAAAAGAGGAGACTAAATATCTCTTAAATTTTTAATAATTTGTATACTATTGATGATTTCGGTTAAATTGTTTTCTTTGTAACGACTGAAATAGTCTATTACTACCAGAAGTTAATCGTTGCTTGGTAGTGGTACTAACAAATCCAATTTGATGTTGACCCATAGTTCTGATGGAAGTTCCCGCAGTTTCATAGGTACAGGTGGATTTGGCAGTTCCACAAGAGTGCACCCTTTGCAGCTCTTGACTAACATCTAGACATCTTTATCAATCTTTGGCCACCAGACTTTAGCTCTTAAGTGTTCCATTATAGACACAATTCCAGGGTGACCTTCATGGGTTGCCACTAATACTTGTTTTCTTGTTTGGAATTACAATTCTATTTCCTCTCAAGAGAATATTGTCATAAAAACAAAGTTCATTTCCAAAAATATTAAAGTTTTTGACTGACTTATGCCACTGATTGTTATGGAGTCCATTTTTTACGTTCGTTATTACTAAGTCACTTTCAGATTGTGCAATTATATCTCGCATAGAAATAGCATATGTTTTTGATAATTGTACTATTTGGCATACATAGTGGTCCTGTATAGGTTGAACATAATTATGTTCCGTTGCATAAATATGATAGTGGATATACAATGTTTGTATTTCCTGCCTTATATTTTATCTTATACATTTTTCGACGCGGGCACACGACTTTGACTTAGGACTAAATCGGAATCCTGGATCCGTTTTTTACGACATAAATTGTGCCGGAATCACTTTTTTCCATTTGTTTTAATTTCCGTTTCAAATGAACCTTTTACCTGTAATGGTATACTACTGCCACATGCCAATAATATTTTATTTGGTTCCTTAATTTGATTTTTACAACTAACTTTATTTATTTTCAAACATTCCCATGAATTATCATATATTAAATTTGTTTTACAACCTGAATCAATTAACATTTGTAGCTCAACGCCACCTATGTTTACTTTATCGCTGCGTCTTTAAATGATGTACTGGAAATCATCGTCCTCTAAAGTATTGACTGTAGAATTCTTACGGGATTTTTTTATTTCTACGCCTTCCTCTTGGTTATGTTCTGTTCTCCTTTTAAATCTATTTATCTTTGTTTTACAGTATCTTTGATATTGTCCTACTTTTCCACACCCGTGACATTATTTTTCTTTGGCTAGACATTTTGGTTCAAGAATATTGTGCATTGTTTTTCCGCATCTCCAACACTTAATATTTCCTGATCTCATTTCAGTTTTTCTCCATTCCGAAGTATCCCTGCTCTTACTTGTGACTGAATATATCTCGCTGGTCTTTCCATTCATAGCTTTCCAGTTTAAGGTTTACTACACCTAATGTCTTTACTTCTAAAAATATAGTTCATAAAAGATAGCTTGATCTCTGCGACAGCTATCGGTAAAAATCACGCCTATGAACTCCTGAATTTCTTAATAGTACAGACAGTACCTGTCAATGTCATACTTTATGGTCATGCCGACCTAATTAGTGCATGCCCATAAAGTATGTCATTGACAGGTACTGTCTGTACTACTAAGAAATTTACGACTTCATAGGCGTGATTTTTACTGATAGCTGTCGGAGAGATCAAGCTATCTTTTATGAACTATACCTTGTCTAATGTCACTGCATCACCCATTGTTAAAATCTTTTTCCCGAGCTCTATCGATGCACATCTTTCTATTATTTGATCGATAATATGATCATCGGGATTATCAAATTTAAATTTTTTAGTCTGATCTCTCAATTTTAAAATAAATTTTTTTCAAAATGTTCACAGTCTTGTTTAATTGAACGAAAAACATATCTCTCATAAGTCTTATTTTGTTTATGGAGGAAATAGTTATAGAGCTTTTTATAGCTAATTCAAAACTATCTACTTCTTCCTGCACTGCGCTGGTGTCTGGCAAGTTTTAAAATATATCCTAAAGCCCGGTTCCGCCTAACAATAGCAATGTTGCTCTCTTTTTTATTGGAGATTGTAAATCGGCTGCTTCGAGATAAATTCTTAAGGATCTTTTCCATTTCTCCCATCGTAAACCTAATGACGTGATATCCCCATCTAGCTCTAATTTTTCCGGTGACTAACGAATTTGACACTCCGGATCGTTAGAAACCCGAAAACAAATGCAATTTGAACACCCTATCTTCAGTTAAATGGAAATCAATATCGCCAATTTAATGGAAATCAATATCTCGCAATTTAATGGAAATCAATGTGAGTTTGGAAATTGCATAAACTTTTTTTTTACTATAATTCAAGTACCCTGGTGTTTTAATTCACAGACTAAATGAATGTGATATGTAATCCGACACAAATGAAATAGTATATGTATATATTTTTATTGCAAGTTAAATATATATAATAATCTTAAAGAAGCGAAAATACGTAACTAAGCTTCAATTTATACTTTAGTGATTATATGATTCAAAAGTTGTGAAGCCCAGAAGTAATTCTTAGTAAAGTAAAGTAAAGTTACAGCCTTTATACGTCCCACTGCTGGGCACAGGCCTCCTCTCATTTCTGAGAGGGTATTACGGCAAGGAAGTGTCCGCCACGCTGCCCCAATGCGTGTTGGCGAACTTCACATGTCTACGATTTTTTTTTCTTATTTCTCAGACATGCAGGTTTCTTCAAGATGTTTTCCTTCACCACCAAGCACGTGGTAAATCAGCCCTTAAAATTGCAATTAACAATTTCATTGGTGCCGGCGGGGATCGAACCCCGGTTTGTTCGCGTACTGTGAAATTTACAGCGAGCGCTATCCATATGAGCTACCACGGCTCGTAATTCTTAGTAATATTGAATATTTTATTTGTTCACCATCTTTTCTTTATGTAAAAGAATATTGAAATATTTCTTTCTTGTAAATAATTGTTTTATTAAATTTACTTAAATTTATACTTATTTATGAAATAATTAACATTTATTTTACACTATGTATTTAGTTCATTTTAAGTAACAAAGTATGGATTGGTTTTTAGAAACAACAGTTGAATTTTTATACTTACCTTTTACCTCCTCGCCACTTGTAGAACTTTTATAGTATAATATTCACAACTCTTAACACTGGCTCACTATCACACCAAGTCTTTCGGGGTACACGTTCTACCTCTGAGCATTCCGCAAAGCAACTTACTGCCGGCACTCAGTGCAACAATCGAATGACGTGCTACCCTCCACTACTTGTGTGTATGAGACAGTGTATTGAATCTATTAAATAGACACAAACACTACACTGCTTATTTCTAGAGGCAAAGTTATTGAAATTTTAGATTGAAACTCAATTAAAAATAAATTTACTCAATCACTTTCAGTAAACTAGTTGAGCTGTCGTTGTTTAGATTAATTAATATTTGATTTTCAATAATGCAGTCAAAATAAATGTCTCTTTCAAAGTCATTCATAATCATTTTTTTTTGTTTTTTCTACCACTTTTTTCCAATCAATCCAAAAAATCAATATAGAATAAACAGCTCAAAAAGTTAAAGCCGAGTCACCAAATAGACAAACACAAAATCACAAAATTATGCACATCCCGAAATGGCGGAAAATTGAAATCACGTAGTAATTTTTTTAAGCGCGGCCTTTTTTGTGAGTTTTTTTGTAAATTATAAAAGTAAAAAAAAACTTGTTATGTTCATGATTTAATTAAACAAATAATACGTTAAAAAACTAATAATTCGATTATTTGAATATTTTTATCAATTATTTGAATACTTTTGCCGATTATTCGCATAACAATGAATTTGAATCATCCAAACACTACGGTAAGGCGGTGGTCTCCTATAAACGCCATCGGCCGCTTACAGCGTCACGCCGTACGCCGCGTTACGATGCTTACTATATAAATGTACTGTTGTGGTCTCTATCACAAGCTGATGGCGGCGTATGGACGTCGTAGGCGGCGTTAAGACGCTTTGCGCTGCGTCTCTAGTTATTTCGAACCATTGTAGCGTAAAGTCGTGTCTAGCGTCAGTACAAAATGACAAAATTTTATAAAGAAAAAGACGAGTTATTGATTTATTATTATGTTTAAATTGTTCTTGATTAATAAAAAAATATTCAGTAAATTTAGAATTGCTGTTTTTAAGTGTTTCATTATAATAGCTGGAAACATCCTTCTTCATTTCTCTTCGTAAATAATCGGTGCCTTGTTGCCTTTATTTTTCTTCGTATACGTCGTCTCGTCGTGTCTCTTCTTCAAGTAACACAAGCACCGCGAAGAGCATTGAATTTATATCCATTTTATGTACAAATATCACACACAACAACACGTGGGCACTGTCAGCTACTTAACTGTTGTTTGATCGAAAGTCTAGACGTCGTCCATTGCTAAGACATGTATTGACCGCTGACGCTGTGTCTGGCGTTCAGACGCCGATCGGAACGTTTACGCTGAAGTCGGACGTCGCGTATAGCATTTAATAGGAGACCGTAGCCTAAGGTACAAAGCGATATATCATTGAAAAAACGTCAAGTAAAAGTTTTGTTGATACTGGTTTTTTAATATTCTGCTTTGATTGAAAGATTCGAATTTAAATTAGTGATGAAAAACTACACATTATTAAGGAATTTCACATATCAATTGTTTGCGAAAAAATATCGATTTTTGATTTTTAAATAATTTTGAATCGAATTGTGATAACCATCATAAAAAATTAATGTCTAAAAGCTCCATTTCTCAAAAATTGATTTTTTTTTTTCGATTTAATTTTAGAGTTAATTTTTACACTGCCAATAAGTATATATAAAAAAGTACACATTGCAAACGTAACTTTTTTTCATCTTTTTAATACATTAAGAAGAGTCGAAAGAAACTGAGCACACAGCCATTTCGTGAGTTTTCGAATAATTAAGTGAAAACCTGTAATTTCTTTTGAATTTGGATGTATTCAGCTAATTGTAAATAATTTTATGGTTCTAGTCAATACAAAAAATCTAATTTCAATTTCTAGAGTGAAATAACGATTCACTGGATCGTCGATTTAGTCCTGTATACGGATTTAAAAAATCGATCTTTTTGTAACACGAAATGGATTCTTTGATAAATCGATTTCACATCGCATGCTTCGATTACGAGCGATCACAGAACATAATATAATAAATATAATACACCCAAGTGTTTGGCCTTTGCCAAGTGTGAACTATGAATGTGAAGTGAATCGAAAAATGAAAGGTTCGTTTTCTTTGCCATGGTTGCGGGTGGTGTGAGGTTAACCTACAATTATTTGTTAGATTAGATATTTACTTTTACTTTTCTGTTAGCCTTGAGTGGTAGTTGCAGACAGCATTGAGGACATTAGATTTATTGTTTTGCTTAATCATGGCTGAGTCCCAAGATGTACTGCTTCTTAAAATTAAAGAACAAGGGGATATCGTGAGGAAATTAAAAGCTGCAAAGGAATCAACTGAAAAGGTAAGATCCGTTTAAAATTTACTAAAACTGATTAAACTCATCCTTTTTCAAATTTTGACTGTGTATTGCATCACTCATTGTTTATTGTTACGATTGTTCTTGGTTTTATAGCAGAAGAGGACACAAAAATTTGTTTATGATCTTGAAGAAGTTGATGCATATTTATCTCAGTTCAGTTACTTATCAGGGTATTCACCCACGAAATTAGACCTAGATATTTTGAACAATTTAGGGCAAGATCTAGATTTCCAAAAGTATAAATACATCAAGAGGTGGTGGTACCATATGCGGAGTTTCAATGAGTCTGATATAAATCTTTTCCCTTTAGCTAGCTCCCAAAATTCATTTGCAAATCTGCATAAAGGCAGTGATAGGTCTCTTGATGAGCAGGTTTGTGTTGTTGCTCTTTAGAAGTAGCCTATTTTATACTTTCTTGTTTATAAGACACATTGTATATATTGTATTTTTAGATGCATAGTCCCTATTAGGCTTGCCAACCATTTTGTGAGAGCTAGGACATCATGTTTCTAGAGCCTTAGCGAATGCCTCCCGCAAAAGATGTGTGAGGTACATCAATTGTCCCATTTTAATGTAGATGTCTACATTTTAAGCAGAAGTATCTAGAAGTGAATGAAATTTTATACAGACTTCAAAAACGAGGAGGTATTCTATTTGACTTTTTTTATGTGTATCAAATTTATATCAGACCACTTGACAAGCATCAGCTTTCAAATAAAAAAAAAGAATTATCATAATCGGTTCACGGTTTAGGAGTGATTTTTTGCTCATTACATTTATATGGGAAAGATGATTCCTTGAGAAAGATGAGTTTATTTGATAAAAAAGAAGAATTGAAATTTGTTTAGAAGTTATTTCCGAAAAATAGTTGTATAACCTTTTTTGAAAACTGAAATACTGTTTAAAATATGAGCGTTAAATCTTATTTCCGATTAATTCCCCATTATATACTTTTACAACTTTGCCCCACTTTTTTCAACCATGTCCCACATTGTGTTGCAATATTCCCGCAAATCTGTGCACTTTGGTTGGCAAGCCTAGACCCTTCAAATGCATTTTGCTTAAATTATTATTTGGATCTCCCCATATGGTTCTTTCGTTACCACAGCATGTAGTATGCAATACTTACAAAATATTAAAAAGATATAAAAACAAAATTGTTATGTTCATGGAAACCATTTCTTTTCCGGTAGTAAATTATAAATCATCAGTGGTGACGAGGTTCCATATTGATTCAATGTGAAGTGGATTAACTAAAGCAACATGATTTATGCAGTATTGAGGTTGTCAAAAAACCTAAAAGTCAATTTGCGATTATGCAACTTTCTATCTCACAATGGATACAAAAAAAGTTTTGCAACAACATCTCAGTGCAAGGTATTAGAAAGCTGTACATTGCTTGTAGTATACAAAAAAGTTAATTGTCAGTTTCTCTATGTTTTAGAGTCAAGATTTTATCATTTGTTTGATATAGTGCTAAATTCTTATCTTTTTTAGATTCAAGAGGAGGTTAGTAAGTTACTGGCTTTGAAAGCACAGTTAGGATCAGAAGATGCAGCTCCGCAGAAGTTTGTTCTTAAAACTCCAAAAGGTACTAGAGACTACAATCCACAGCAAATGACCATAAGGAATAATGTACTACAAAAAATAATAGCAGTATTTAAAAAACATGGAGCTGAGTGTATTGACACTCCAGTGTTTGAATTGAAGGTTGTTATTTTGATTATTTTTAAATTTTCTTATTATAAATCTTCAATTCAAATAAGACTTAGTAGTAATTTCAACTCCTTGTAGTGTAATATTATCTTCCATTGTTGTCTACTGCGGAACATGGGCCTCCTTCATTCATTTCCATATTTATCCTAGTTGCCATACTTGGCAGCCTGCTGCCAATCTATTGTTTTATTTCTTACCATTGTCTCTTACTACACCCATGGCAAAATATGGGACAGTGGATATTATTTTGCCTGCACTACACAGGTCTAATGAGGATTTATTCTCCTGAGCCTCACCTGACCACTGTAGAGAGAACTATCTTAATTTTTTTAGGTGTGTGGTTAGTGATGGTATGTTTTTTTTTTTTAATAAAAATAATAGTACTCTTATTAATTAACGTTACTAATATTCCTTTTAACCACTCCTGGCAAGCCTGAAACGCTTGTGTTAGGAGTGGTTTACGACAATAGTCAAATGACAGATTCGAACCCAGGACCTTTTAAGTTCGCGATATGCACCCTGCCTGGCTATTGTCGCTGTTGGTATAGTTTATTATCTTTTGATTACAAATGCCAATTTATTATATTTCGAATTATATCTGTTGAATATTATACCTGAGCCTTGGTAGCTTAGCAGCTAAGTGCTTAGTGTAAATTATACAGTACAAACTGGGCAACAAATTTTATAGTATACTCCAGTACCAATTAAAATAATTGGATTACTTTGTGTGTATATGTGAAGTTCACCAACTGGCACTGAAGCCAACTTTGCACCAGAATAATTTCTCTGTAACTATCAGATTTCGGAATTTGGAGAAGGCCTGTGTCCATATAAATAAACTGTATAAATTTACTTTATTGTATCTGTTAAAACAGGAAGTCTTAACTGGAAAATATGGTGAAGATTCAAAATTAATCTATGACTTAAAAGATCAGGGTGGTGAAATACTTGCCTTGCGATATGATTTAACAGTACCTTTGGCTCGTTATTTGGCAATGAGCAAGATCAATACTCTAAAGCGATATCACATAGCTAAAGTATATAGAAGAGATAATCCAGCTATGACAAGAGGTAGATACAGGGAGTTCTATCAATGTGTAAGTTCTAATTTTCAAACCAATTTCAATTTAAAAGTTGTGCATTTACCTCTATCTTCTTTCTTTAATAGACCATCTTTTAAGGTTTAATTTTGAAGATTTTTTTAACATAACTTAAAAATGACAAATTAAACTATTTTTATGTATTTTATCATACTTAATTTTAACTTTTTAATTCCCGACATTTCGTCGTTATAGCGCCCCATGTCTATGGACGCTTTAAAGCACCTGAATGACGAGAATTAAAAAGTAAAAATTAGACGCGATAAAATTCGTAGTGTTCACATAAATATAAGAAATCATAATGGGGATTAAATTGTTTATATTTAATAAATGTTGTTTTTCAGGATTTTGATATTGCTGGTCAGTATGATCCAATGGTACCAGATGTAGAATGTCTCAAAGTTGTGACTGAGATTCTGGATGCCCTTGATATTGGAAAGTATGTATTGAAGGTTAATCATAGACGGTTACTTGATGGGATGTTTGAGGCATGTGGAGTTCCAGTTGATAAATTTCGATCTACTTGTTCCACTGTTGATAAATTGGATAAAGTGAGTATTAACATTGATTTGTTTATTGAATACTATTTAAATAGATATATTGAATTCATTTTATATTAATTCATCTTCTGTTTGAACACATCTCTGGGTATGTTATATGTCTGCCATAAATAGGATAGTTATACCACCATTTAATGACTTATATTTTTTAATTTAAGCGAAATTGGCTGATTAGAAGTGGTTCAAATGTAAAAAGATGACAAATAAAACTAATGTTATTTTTGTAAAATGTAATTAAGATTTTTTTTGTCTAAAATTATTGAGAGTTCTACTTCTTCATTGCCTTGAGGGTATTACACCTTTAAATCTAATTCTGGTGACTCCAGTAGGTTGCTAATAGTAAATACTGTCAATTCTCTCCTTTTATAATCACTTTTTAGCCTTTCACAGTTATTAGCAAAGTTTGCCTCAAATTGGCTATTAACAGTGCTTATGAAATATTCATATAAGCATCTTGAGCCTAATTTATGTCCTATATAACAAGGCTATGAACAGTTACTGCTTTAACCTGAAAAAATAAGTTTATATACTATATTATTTATGTTTTTTAAGAAGTATGCATCTTTATTTTAATTAAATTAGATTCTATTTTTGATATATTACGATATTATTATTATTATATAAAATATAATAAATCATTTGGTAGATTTGGTAGTTTGTATGGTAACTATTTATATTTCAGTCACCATGGGAGGATGTAAGGACTGAAATGATAAATGAGAAAGGTATTTCACCGGACGCTGCTGATAGAATAGGAGAATATGTGCGTTTGAATGGTGGTGCAGAGTTGGCAAATAAATTATTAAAAGATGAGAAGTTATCCAAAACCAAAGCGGCAGTAGAGGGACTGGAAGGAATGAAATTGTTGTTAAATTATTGTGATATTCTAGGTATTAGTGACAAAATATTGTTTGACTTGAGTTTAGCTCGAGGATTGGACTATTACACAGGAGTTATTTATGAAGCTGTTTTAACTCGTAAGTTGAAAAAACACTTATTCATATTTCTTAATCTATAAAATAAAAAATGGTTGTGGCTCAGGTCAACACTACAACTTTCCCAGTAGAAAGTGGCAAAAAAATAAGAAACAGTAAGAAGTAAGAAGAAGTATGGAACAGACCAATAGGAATACTATTGAATTTTTACATCATATTACTCTTCAATTAATTTATTCACTCCTGCAGGACAATAATTGAATACCAGCGTGAAATAGTAACTTAATGCTGCTGTGTTTCGTAATAGTAACTTAATGCTGCTGTGTTTCGTAATAGTAACTTAATGCTGCTGTGTTTCGTATGGAGAGTGTAGAGAACTGGAGATCCTTTGTACTGGAAACAAGGCATTCCATATTAGTCCTTACGGGTGACAACGCATCTGCATTTTCAATCGCATATGAGGATAGATGTAGATGTCTATGGGCCACAGCAACCACTAATCATCAGGTGGACTGTGTGCTCGTTGGTCACCCTATCCTATAAAAAAAGTTAGATAAATCATAATCAGGTTCTAATAATATAATAAAACTAAGGAATTGTTTTCGAGATATGTTTTGTTTTTACTTTGATATTACCTGATGTGTTGATGCCTATTAGTATTTCATCAATTTAGTAGATTGGAAGTTTTATTACTTTGCCGTTAAACTCAAATGAAATTTGCAATTATTTAATCATATTTTTAATGCCTTGGTTACAACAGTGCACTGCAACTACTTAAACTTTTTGTTTACTTCTGGTTCAGTACTTACTTTCACTTTTTAGTATGAGGGAATAGTGTTTCTAGCTTTGTATTTATGAAGGAAGTATTTTTTATTCAATTTTCTTATTTAATACAATAAATTTTACTATTTTATAAAAAAACATTCGCTCACCAAACCAGTTAAACATATGGGAATGAACATTGAATAATGTCTGGATTTGGAATCTCGAAAAAATTTATATTTTATTTTTACCTTATTTTCAACAGATTTCTCTATGCATAACACTGTTGAAGAAACCTTTAAATTACTTATTCATTCTAAATAATATACTAATGTCTCTATGAACAATACCTTTAAGGGTTCTGAAAAGGTTGAGGTTAAATATTTGACGTGTTTGTTTTCATATGAATCTTTACTGATTTCTCGGAAATGGCTGAATTAATTCAATGATTTTTTTTTAATTTAAGGCTAAATTCAAGGGTGGTCCCATATAAACATGAAGAAAAAACAACCCTTAAGAGTGGAAAAATAGGGAATTTAGTTTTTATTGTAACTATTAAAAAAATTTAATTGTTACCATAAGCTTGTGATACTGATCAGGTAAATTAAAAGGGAAAAAATTAAACTTTGCACCAACTTCAGAAGCTATTATGTGGCAACTATTTTATTATTTTTAGAAGTCTGTTTTTATTTTTTGTTAAATGTGTAATTTTATTCTTTATAATTTAACTGTTAAAGCCAAAAGGAGAATTTTCCCTGCCGATTGACGAAGAAAGTGTATGACTTTATAAGTAAATTCTTATATACTTTTTGTATTATTCGTTTCTCTGGATAGATTCCACCATCTTAACTAATTCTGCCATCAAACAGCAGCGCACCTGCACTGCTGAGGCAGAACTTAGTCCTTAGAGGTGACAACACATCAGTGGTACGAAGTGTAGATGTCTGCACTGCAGTAGCCACCATCAGGTGGACTGTAAGGTCCTTTTACTTAAGTTTCAACTTTTCCTTCATATGTTAAATCCACTAACGCGTGTGCACACTTTACTTGACTAAGAAATTGAGGATCTAGCAATAGACTAATTAACAGTAAATCTGTGCAGTAAAACACTCAATTCAAGTTGACTGACACTGACTGGGAGCATTACCAATGCGATATTGATTTCTTATGTTTATGCGAACACTACACATTGATTAAAACAATTTTTACGGATTTTATCGCGTTTATTTTACTATTATTTTTAATTCCCGACGTTTCGGGCGCTTTCCAGCACCCATGGTCACGGGGGACTGAGATGACTGACGTCCCGATGTCATTGTTAAACCCGGAGTACCTTCAACTTTTTTAATTATCGTTTATGGTCCGATCTATGCAAAATGAACTATGTCCTGAGGTCTTGCAGTGGTATGCTTGGGTTTACTTTTAATTTTATTGATTATAGGATCCCAAGCAGGTGGTAGTACTCAGGCTCCTTCTCTATTGAAATTAGGATGTTTTTTAATTTCAATAACCTCACGTATCATCCTTGGTAGGAATCGGTGTTCTTTCGCGAGGATTTGTGGTCTATCAAATCTGATGTAATGGTTGGGGCCGTCTAGAATATGATCGCAAACTGCAGACTTCCCGGAATGTTGATGCTTCACATCAGCTATATGTTCTGCCACCTGCTTGGGATCCTATAATTTTTTTTTATTTTATTTAATAAGGCTTACCAACTAAATACATATAGAAGCAATTATTATGAGGTGCACTTAAAAAAATTGTATATATGTATTTAAATTAAAGGTAAACACAACATATAATAAAAGACTTCCTTTAAGGAGAACAGTAACCTATAAAACTATCACTACAATAAAATAATAAAATTATAACAAAGAAGTAAAAAAAAAACTTTTAAAATGAAATAATCAATAAAATTAAAACTAAACCCAAGCATACCACTGCAAGACCTCAGGACATAGTTCATTTTGCATAGATTGGACCATAAACAATAATTAAAAAAGCTGAAGGTACTCCGGGTTTAACAATGACATCGGGACGTCAGTCATCTCAGTCCCCCCGTGACCATAGGTGCTGGAAAGCGCCCGAAACGTCGGGAATTAAAAATAATAGTAAAATAAACGCGATAAAATCCGTAAAAATAGTTTTTAGTTTTAATCAATGCGATATTGTTAAATCTGCTTTAACAAACCTATCTGTTCCAAATAGTGGAAAAATCTTTTAGATAATGATGCCAACTGACTCAATCTCACAAAGATCATCTATCAGTAGATTTTAAAGAGGCAGTTAAGGCGTTTAAACTCTAACTTAAATTTATCCATATTTGTTTTTTATTTTTACAAATTATGAATTACAGAACCAATCAAAGTTGGCAATGAAGAGCTGACAGTGGGTTCGATAGCGGGCGGCGGCCGTTACGATAACCTTGTTGGAATGTTCGATGCCAAAAACAAGCAGGTAATTGTATTTGTTCCTATTTCTCTGAAGTTGCATCTAAACTTAGCTCCAGTCTTCTAGGTTTCTTCACTCATTTTTGCCTGTTGCCTATTTCTGCCTGTGCTCTGTTGCCTATTTCTGCCTCTCGGGTATAGAGATGATTACAGGCTATGGGGCATTTTATATTAGTCCTCAGGGGTGACAACGCATCTGTTCTTCATTCTCTGTATAAAGCTGGCTGTAGTACGACTGTAATCACCTACCATCAACTATACTGAAAGTTTGTTTGTCGCTTCAGTTTCATAAAAAATATCTTACTACAAAACTTCCTTCAGATGCCAGTAGGTTAATTCCGACTAGCAGTTGTTGCTTGTGCAGACTGTTGGTTGAGCCCAGAAACGGGAGGTTGCGTCGCCTCATTCTTAATCTCTGTTTTCCTTGGATGAAATCTACATCCCCGACTCATCAGCTCATAGACAGCCCACAGCTGGATGTGCACTTCTGCCCATAGTACATCACATGCAGCTATATTATGGTTCTAGAATGAATGGGTCGGCTCTACCGGGAAAGACCACGCTCTCACAGAAGACCAGCGTAAAATAGCAGCTTTAATGTTTTAATACTGCTGTTCTTATGGTAAGTGTAGAGATTCGGAAACCCATTTTTACTGGAAATGAGGCATTCCTTAGCCCTCAAGGTTGACAACGCATCTGCATTTTGATTCTTAATCGAGGATAAATCTAGATGACTATAGGCCCCAGCATCCACTTACGATCAGGTAGACTGTGTGCTCATTTGTCACCCTTATTCTATAAAAAAAGGGAAAAATATCTAGCTTATAAGAGGCTCATATTACCATCTATCGGAGACCATGTGATCTTAATGACATTGCCCATAGTCAAATCTTACTGTACTCAAAAATAAGGGATAAGAATCATAAGAAATATTTTGCTTTTTATTTCAAGCTAAATTCTGAGAGCTTGATTTTCTCCAATCTAGCCGATCTATTGGTGTTAGAAGTTGCAACTGTAGTGCGGCCCTGCCACATCAAAAAATAAATATTATTTATAGATTGTGTATTTCAACATTTGCTGTGTAAGAGCAAAGTAAGGAATCCACTAGAAGAGAATCCCCATATCATTGGTTGGCTCGATCACGGCAGGACCACACTACAGAATACTAACGTGGTTAGACCCTTTTCACTGAAAACGAGGCATCCATCTTAGTCCTCAGGGGTAACAACGCATCTGATAGATATGGGCCACAGCATCCACTTACCATCAGGTAGATTGTGTGCTCGTTTGTCACCCTAATTATATTAAAAAAAAGATATAACTTAATTTATGTAAGCGATAAGCAGCGAATTTCGGTGGCATGCGACAGGTTCGATCGTGAATTGATTGATAGCATAGCTGTTGTAAACATTGAGATAGCTATGTGATATCGGTCTTAGTGTAAGTTTTGCTGTTTGCGCGAAGGTCCTTATCACTATGTCAGTTGAGGTCAAGGAGAGGAAATGTCAGCAGGTCAAATGATAAAGATGCAGGTAAAATTGAAAATAATTTATGTCCGCGTATATAGAGCTGTATGAATTAGCGAATCTTTTTACACAACAATGGACATGCCAATGTCAATTATATCGAATTCCCCCTATGAGGCAACCTAAGAGGGGGGATCTATCTACAGCTGTGGGGTAATAATATACAACACGTAACATAATTAACGCACTTTGAGAAAGTAGTTTGTTCAGAATCATTTACTGAATCGATTCCTATCATTTTTAATATAGGTAATTTTTTATCCCAAAAATAATTAAAACTACGTAAATTACAGTCACACTAAATCTGTACAGTCAAAACAAACTGAAATGGACCGTATATAACATAATATACTAATTGGGGTGTCTGAGGGTGTGTGTTAACTTTTACGTTAACATTACATATTGTATATTGTTATGAAAAATGATAATATTCTGTTAATAATTTAAACATAGAACACTAATTGTGCAAGTATAGCTTGCATTTGGCTGATAATAATTTTATTTTAACATTTTTAATAATTCCTGCAGTCAATGGGTGCTGTTACTCAGGACCGTGCTTTATGGCATTCCTTGGAGAACGTTTATGTTAAACGGTGTAAATGTGATGATAATGAGGATTTATAAAAATTACAGGTGCCTTGTGTCGGCGTCAGTATCGGCGTTGAACGAATATTCTCCGTATTGGAATCGAAATTGGCAGCGGGCGATATAAGTGTGCGTACGAATGAAATAGACGTATATGTCGCATCCGCGCAGAAGAACTTCCTGGAAGAACGTATGAAGATATGTGCGGAGTTATGGAACGCGGGAATCAAGGTTCGTATAAGAATGAATTTATTACATTTTTCTTTATAATAAAATAAGGTGTAAAAGGATATTCACTCAAAGCATTTGAAAAGTATGTTTCATTGGTTGTAACTTTGTCACAGGTCCTCGTGTATGGAAAGCAGTTATGGTATTTAACTATTTTATGTTATGTTATGTTGTATAAACATTTTTTAATGGAATAAGGCTGAAAAACGGGCACACAGTCCATCTGGTGGTAAGTGGATGCTGTGGCCCATAGACATCTACATTTATCCCCAATTAAGAACCAAATGCAGATGCGGTGCCAACCCTGGGAATCAAATTATACTAAATGCCACATTTCCAGTCAAAAATAGTCTCCAGTTCTCTACACTTACCATACGAAACAGGAGCATTAAGCTGTAATTTTACGCTGGTATTCTGTGAGAGCGTGGTCCTATCGCGGTCGAGCCGACCCATTCACGCTACAACCGTAACATGGCTGCAACTTGGCTCTACCACAAATTATTAACATTCGATAATTTTTCGAGTTTATAGCCAATATCTAAACGGATTTCCTTATAGCTTATGTTAGCATCGCACTGCATGAGATTATCAACCAGTTCAGTTGTAAACTTCACTGCTGTCGGGTTTGCTACCCGAGTAGCCATAGAAATATCCTATTTCAAAGTAATATTGCAAATTTATGACTGATTAAATGGTTATAATTGATTCAATTCAGACTAATGTTTCTATAACAATTAAAATATTCAAACTTTTTCAGACTGAACAGTCTTATAAGAAAAATCCGAAAATGTTGAACCAGTTGCAACATTGCGAAGAAAATGGCATTCCCTTGGCGGTAATTCTCGGTGAATCAGAGTTAAAGCGAGGCTTGGTTAAGATCAGGAACATCACAACGAGGGAGGAACAAGAAGTGCCTAGAGCAAATCTTGTGGAGGAGCTCAAGACAAGGATAAATACATTAAATGTGAAAGAGATGAATGGTTCCTTGTAATTAAATTGAATCTTGAATTGATACTTATAGTTCTTTTGAGTTGTATGAAATTATTTTAAATGTTTAAAGATAAAAATATAACACAAAATTATTTGTTTTTAATTATTTTGGTTGTTTTTCATAATTAAACATTTGTGATGAATAATTTTTATGAACTTTTGCATTTTTGTCAAGCAATTATCTTACCAAGCAATATAGAGTATCTTTTGTTATATTATGTTACCTTAATAAATAAATTATCTTTATACTAAAGAAAGAACTAGTTGTTAAATAAGTTACGATCTATCTGTAGTAATTTATTTTAGGATAATTTCCACTATCAAAATGTCATTTTACAGCCGTTCCTTTACCTTTATTCTTCAACTTTTATTTAAAATATAAGTGTAAGTAAAAAATAATAAAATTTTATTAATAGGTAAAATTGCTTTCTATTTTACTTTGTATATCTGTATAAATAAATAAACCGATTTTAAGGATTTCACTTTTTTACCTTCATGCAGCATGCAGGTGTTGTTTTTTTTACTTATTACCAGAGCTTGAGCACAATCTATTTGTGGTAAGTGGCGAAGAAGCCCTATATAAAATGTTATCATACTGATGATGATTTTGTTATGAATATGATGAAAACAAAAAGTATTACAGCTTGCAAGTAGTATAAATACTTATAAGTAACATAAAATGCCTTATTAAAATAGACCAAAAGATGCATTACTTAAACAATTTGTTGTTGTTTGCTCATCACACTGGGCAAGTAGACTGTAGTCCGCAGAGTCAAGCCCTCGAATTGGTGATACTGTTCATCACCAGCATATAAGATTTCGTTTCGGCAGTTTGAATGGTTTTTTGCCACCACTTAGTCGTCAAAGCCTTACTGCTGTTAGTAATTGTTATAGCAATGCCCTTAAGATCGAATTTCGGTCACGGCTTAGACACAGCACAGAATTATAGTGCATGAGTGTGTGAGCAAGCGCTGTTGCATTTTATTTCTCTCACTCCCATAGTCCAATGGAGCGCAATCCGGCGCGACCGGAGAGAGATCATGCGCAGGGCCATTAGGAATCATTTACAAGGTATTAAGGTGAAACACCGCCAACTTCTGAGGATTTGTCTACAAAAAAACTCGATAACTGAATATTACCGCGCGCGGGCTTAGAACCTGGGACCACGTGATCAGCAGTTGCGATTACGACCACAATACCAACGAGGCTGAGGCAGAGCCTTAGACAGTATGCATAGATTATCTGTGGTTAACATTAAAATAAATAAACGATTGTCTATTTCTCTTAGATCTACATATTATAGTATATACCAGGTAGACGTTCTGCCTGTTCCTGCGAACCTTGTTTAAAAAAATCCTTAAATTCACAATAAATAATACTCTGGGTTACTTATTAGAATAAAAACTATCTTCCCTCTCAAATTGGAGCAAGCAATACACATTTAAAAATGTCGCTGAAATCAGTTCAGTAGTTTAGGGAGTTCATCGCGGACAAATAATGTGAAACCTAATTTTGTATACAATATGTAACAAAAACCCTGTGGTTCCCGTTAAGTGTGTTATCAGAATCAGTATCCAAGCGTATAGAAATATTTTTTTTTTCAAAAAAACATAAAAAAAATATATTTTAATGAAAAAAAAAATATTTGCAAGTTGTATGTGGTTTTATTTCCTCTAACTCACACGAGTGTCGGTAATCCAGGGTCTTTGACAATCCTTTTACTCCTCGACCAATGCAGAGATAATAAAACCACATACAATTTGCAAATTAATTGTTTTTCATTAAAATTATTTTTTTTTAAATGTGTTTTTTTTTTTGAAAAAAAATTATTTCTATATGCTTGGATACTGATTCTGATAACGCAGTTAACGGGAACCTCAAGGTTTTTATTACATGTTGTATAAAGGTATGGCACACTGGCGATCAGTCCCGGCATCGCACGGGTGTTTTTTTATTCTCGAAAATAGGAACCATACAGGTAATCCCATAAGTACTAATAAATGTGTAATAAAGGTGATTCATCAAAATCGGTCATGCTATTTAGGAGAAGAATTAATACGAACAACGCACACCGCGTAATTTATATCTTAATATATACAAATTACGTGTCACGTAGTTTGTCCGCGATGGACTCCTAAGCTATTAAACCGATTTTAATCAAATTTTCACACCGTGTGCAGTTTGGTTCAACTTGAGAGATATGATAGTTTTTTTGGCCATGAGTGACCCACAATGTTTTTTTCGAATTTACGGATTTTTAATAGGACATGACAAAGGGTCGTCGAAAATGTCAGAACAACGTCTGCCTGGTAAGATGGAGTATAGCTTACTTATTATATTTCGGGCCTTATTGTATGTTCAAATATAACGCCTCCACGATTCCAGAGAAATGCATAGTGAAAACTTTTTTAAAGCAAGTAATACAAAGAGTGATATGACTATTAATGAAATAGTTAGTTAGTCTAGTTAGTCTGATTATTATATTAAAAAATATGACCTATTTCAAATTTTCTAACGTCTAAGCAAGCTAAGTTTTGACTTAAATTTTCATCTAGACTACTACGTTCGTTGCGTTTAACAATTAATCAATAATTATATGATAGTGTAAAATAAAGAAATTACCTCATGAGTGAATAAATTTTTCGCTATGAAATGTTTTTGTAATATTCTCATCTGGTTAAAAAACGATTAATGAGATAAAATAAAATAAATGTTCAAAGTAATCTAACAGACTCGTGAACCATCTCGCGGACGAGTTCAAGCGCAAGTACAAGAAGGACCTGCGTTCGAACCCGTGCGCCATGCGTCGCCTCCAAACCGCCGCCGAGCGCGCCAAGCGCACGCTGTCGTCTAGCACCGAGGAGAAAAAATAAAATAAATAGATAATTAGGAAAAACTCGACCAGATGGAACTCTTCGGTAGGGGAGACCAAACGGATTAGAGGGAATCGGCGGACGATGCGGGAGCACGGATGCACGTAGTCCCGTTGCTTCAGTTGACCCGGGATGCTGGTCAGGATTAACCCATTCATGCTAAACGATTACAGGAATAATTTCGGACGGTAGACCACCCCACATACTGGCCACCTCGTAGGCCAGTTCCAGATATTGTTTGGTTGTCCGTTTTGGTTTCCAAGAGGTTCTCATCATAGTGATTGGTAGGTAATATTGACAAAAAAAATCTGACTGTGCCCGGGCCATCACCAGAATATCATGCTTATTCGCTAGGATGGGCCTGTCTGTAATGATAGCCTGGTTTTAGTAGAGATATGAGGTCATGCGTTTAGGAGCACGACTTCAGACGAATACGTAAAGGCATTATTCGATTCATGAGACCGTACTTCAGAGCAAACTGTTGGTGTCGAATCGTCGCTACTAAGTTTTTTATGCAGATACTCAGCGCAGAACAACCAGATGTGATATGCTTAGGTGGCTTACTTGGATGGCGATAAACTCGATAGGTGTCCATGGTGCCATTCCTTAGGATGTATCTCTGTACCGCACAGTTAAACCCTCGGTTTCAGCAAAGACGTTATTGAAGCGTGAAGACAGGCATCTGTGTCTACGAAAGGCTCGTGTGTATGGAACCGTTTGTGGAACTCCTTGTTCCATACGGCCCGTCATTCCTCATGGATAATTTTACTTATCTAAGGCGGGTGTACCATGGAAGGCCACTCTAACAAATAGAAAGTTATTATTCGTTTATATACTTGATGAAAGAAACTAACAAATATTTAAGTAATGCTTTGTTTTATTACGTAACATTTATAAACCACATTTTTAAATTGCAGATTTAATCAATATTGATTGAACTTAAGTTTCATTGAACTCTTCCAAATGGCCTTGCTATGAACAAGGCTTCTTAGAAGGAATATATAATAAATCAGTCATTTAACACTAAAGTTTAATAAATAGCGATTAAATCTACAATAAATAGAAGTGGTTTATATGTTACGTAATAAAACAAAGTATTACCTAAATATTTGTTAGTTTCCTTATCCAGTAAATTAGCGAATAATAACTGTTTATTTGTAAGAGTGGCCTTCCATGGGACACCTACATTATTTAAACGTCGTCGATTTCCGAAATCAACGAAGCGAGGGACCGTACTGCCAAAATAGTAGCGCGAGCGATTCGCCGCCGCGTCTGTGATTTTCAGTTCGACGGGTGTTTGTGTAAATAGAAGGAATTTGTCATCACATGGTAATAACTAAGACATTTTAATAATTGGCCTTCGAAGGAGCATGGCTTTCCATGGGCCACGTACCTTATTCTGTTTGGGTTTTATTACTAGGTTTTAAAGCGAACATTAGTATCAAAGTATTGATGATTGCAATTATATTTTTTGAATGTTTTTGATTAACAGGACCTACGACTTAAGAGTTTAGTAATATCCGACGACCGAAATTATCGATCGGGTCTCATAGAATACTGAAACTCGAAATGATCTATTTGAATGATCGACCCGAATGACCCGGTTTGCACGACGAATCAATACATGAATGATCAGGTCACTAGAAATGAATGAATGACATATGTCTACAACGTACCAAGTGCAAAAATAAAAAAATAAAAGCTAAACAACGATTCTAAAGTGGCGCAAGAAATTTGTAAACAGGAAATACAGAAAACTTCTGGTTCCAGTAAAAGCAAATACATCAAACTTTTGGTTCCAGTAAAAAGTTGTCTGGAATCAATTACACAACGTCAATTATTAATATGTTTTTTTTACCTTTATCCTGCTTAAATATAATATTATACTCCTACGTAATGTTACGTAAATTCATGTCTGTTACTATAATAAGTCTCAAAATTATAAATGGATCAACAAAATTAAAAAAAGGTATCTAATTCTTATGAAATAATTTATTTAATCATTATTCATTTATTACAGTCTTGAATAAAACTAAATTTACGGATTTTAACGCGTTTATTTCACTACTTTTAAGCAACCATGGTCACGGGGGGGACTGAGATGTTTGACGTCCCAATGTCATAGTTTGTCCGGCTACCTTCAGTTTTTGAATATTAATTTTGGTCCGATTTACGCAAAACGAGCTTATAGTATCATGAAGTCTTGCAGTGGTATGCTTAGGTTTGGGTTTAATTTTGTTAATTATAGGATCAGTGGTATGCTTAGGTTGGGTTTTAATTTTGTTAATTATAGGACCACTGCAAGACTTCATGATACTATAAGCTCGTTTTGCGTAAGTCGGACCAAAAATTAATATTCAAAAACTGAAGGTAGCCGGACTAACTATGACATTGGGACGTCAAACATCTCAGTCCCCCCCGTGACCACGGTTGCTGTAAAGCAGCCGAAACGTCGGGAATTAAAAATAAGTAAAAGTAGTGAAATAAACGCGATAAAATCCGTAAATTTAGTTTTATTCAATGTGTAGTGTTCGCGTAAATTTAAGAAATCATTATATTACAGTCTTTTTTTTATAGGATAGGGTGACAAAGGAGCACACAGTTCACCTGATGGTAAGTGGTTGCTGTGGCCCATAGACATCTACATCTATCCTCGATTACAAATCAAAATGCAGATGCGTTGTCACCCGTGAGGACTAAGATGGAATGCCTCGTTTCCAGTAAAAAAGGTCTCCGGTGGCTCTACCACGTATAAAAAGCCTATCAAAAGTCCACTGTTGAGGGTAGGCCTCCCCCGAGGTTGTCTCATTTAGTGGTTTAATTGTCATGGTAGCTACGCTTGGCAGACAGGTTGGCAACTTTGAGCTCAAAGGTTGGCAACCGTAGCTTTTTATTATTGCTGAGTTGTTATCAGTAAGCTAGTGGAAGAATATCGAGCAAAAATGGTTAGAGAAGTGATAACAATTGTAAACTTTGGATAAGGTTAAGGTTACGGCACATGAGCACGGGCTACGTACCTATTGTTTGTTGGCTTGTTAATATCTGTTATATCACTTGGGCTATCATAAGAACGCTAGGAACGTCCTTATCATACCCAAGTGATATTTAATAAACGCAATATTTTAAGATTAAGGCATTTAAAAATAGCGATATGTATACAAATAAATAAAATTGAAGTGTGTGTTTGTAATATCAAAGAACAGGTAAATGCATTTTTTGTCATAAGTACCATATACACCTTGTATATGGTACTTATGACAAAACACACTTTTTATAATTTTCTCTGTCTGTTCCGACTATTCTCCGAAATGGTTGGACCGATTTTGACGGGACTTTCACTGTCAGATAGCTGTAGTCGTAAGAAGCAACAAAGGCTACTTTTATTTTAGAAAAGGAATTAGGGTTCCGCGGAGAAAAATTAAAGCCCATGAAATACAATCTTAATAAACATGCGGACAAAGTCGCGGGGAACACTAAGAACTACTACAAACTAGTTATACTAATAATATTGTTCATTAGCGCAATTCTTAATTGTCTTTTAACATTTTTTATATAGAAGAGCGACAAAGGAGCACACAGCCCACCTTCTCAAATAGAGAAGAAAGAATTCTCAAATAGTAATCAAAATGCAGATGCGTTGTCACCCCTGAGTACTAAGATGGAAATCCTCTTTATCAATATGATAAAATACAAATATCTTTGTCATACCTGTATTCTGTGAACCCTAAAAAAAAAAAGTAAACACAATTGTTATAGATGGAAATCCTCTTTATCAATATGATAAAATACAACATTATTCTGTCGTCATACGCTGGTATTCTGTGAGAGCTGGCCCTGACCTGGTGGAGCCAACCCACTCCAGCTGTAGCCATAATATAGCTGCAGCGTGGCTATACAACGTAATATTTAAAAATAAGTTAGACGCACGATCTTTAAACATGTTATAATAAACGCTTTAATATTTTAAATTTAAATGATGCTTCTACTGCTTTGCAGTGCTCATGGTCTACTTTGCACCTGAAATAAATAAGAAAAGTTATTAGAGCCTATAACGTTCCGGTGCTGAGCACAGTTCTCCTCTCGTTGGGAGTGTTATAAAGCTTTTAGTCCATTGCGCTTCTTTTAGTGTATATTTCACTTCTTCAGATGATATGGATATTGGGATATTCTCAAGGTATTTTATTCCTCAGACATGTAGGTTTCCTCATTACGCTTTCCTTTACCATGTAGTAAATCAAAATTTATTAACAATTTCATTGATGTTGGCGGTGGCGGTGTCCGACCCGGGTTGCTCGCTTGAGTTGAATGAGTTAATTTTTTCAATCTTCAAATAAAAATTTCCATCGAATAAACTATATACATATATATTTTTAGTTTACCATAGAATTGAAAAATGAACCTTTAATCTAAAAAAATATTTTTTATGAAGTATTTCAGAAAAGAAAGTTTTCAAATAAACTACTTTAGACTAGACTACTTTTTGTATGTAAAATAAATCGCAGTATTTTCGACAATTGTAAACCTAAAAATAATACGGAATAATGTAATTAGGACGACATTATTGTTTTTAATGTAACTGGGACGGTATTACATTTTTTCTTTACTATTTCCTAGTCCACTCAAAATAAACAAAAAATTAACCTAAAAGTGAAAAATAATTTCCACATAATAGCTTCTGAAGTCGTGGGCTTTAGTAATTCTCTACTAATTTTAAAATCTTAGCACAATCTTAAAAAATTGAAAATAATATTCTTCCTAGTTCTTTAAAGTCAATTTTTACTTATTGTTATAAGTAAATTTTTCGTTTAACATTTTAATTAGTTTAATAGATTTTTAATTACAACAAAAAATTAAGGAGGGTAGACTTAGGGTTCATGCATAGAACTTGGCATTTACAACGCCTTTTAAATTTATTTATACTATTAGCACACAGTCGACGTGATTGTAAGTGGATGCTGTTGCCCATATATATCTACATCTATCCTCGATAAAAAATGAAA